GTGTTCTCAGGGTTTGGGCTTAAGTCTCCTGCCTCTGGATTTCATTTCTATTCTTCCAGTAGTCTCAAGACTTCTCCAACTGTACAGCACTGATAATAAAACTTTTAGGTTAATGGTGAAAAGATTCTCCACCGTGAGAGACACCCAGAGAGGTTCACAGAGTTACATGAAGAATAGGAGAGGGAGGAGGGAGATAGAGGTGAGCAGGAGGAGAAAAAGGGGGACTCAAGAGGAGAGAGACAGATCTACACAGTTGTCTGTTCCCAGAGTGTTCTCCGTAGCCCAGACACCCACAGAGATTCACAGAATTGGATTGAGAAGAGAAGGGGAAAGGAGGAAAAAGAGGTGTTCTGAGGTAGAAAACAGAGAGTCAAAAGTGGGAGAGAGTAATCAACACACTCCTGAATAAAAATGGGAACTGAATATTGGATTCTTAAATGTCCAAAATTTATATCACATACTGAAAAACAAAGATTAAAAATCTAGAGTAGAGGTTAGACTCTTAAAAATACAATATTAAAAACAAAAACACGAAAAATTTTAGAAATATATATGAAGTTTGGTTTAAAAATAGGGCTTCTCTTTTTTTTTTTTGCAAGGTTATAGTGAAATGAAAATGAAAATTAAGGAGTAGTAGAGGAGTAACAGAGGACTTTAAAAGAAAATAAGAGAAAAAAGAAAAAAGAAAAAAAATTTTTTTCCTAATTAAAAAAAATCGTAAAAATATATGAAAAGAGAAAAAATAAAAGAAAAAAATTTTTTTAATTTTTTAAATTTAATTTTAAAATTAATTTAATTAATTTTAATTTAATTGATTTAATTTTTAAAAAGGTAAAAATATATCTAGGAATTTCTCTGGAGCTGTTGCGGTCAGTGTGGGTTCGGTTCAGTTTCAGATAGGTCCTCGTTCCAGCTTACACTTCTCGATATCTATGGGCCCCTTCCTGTGTAGTCGGTGTTAACTACAGGGGTTTTAATCTGTTGCACCCATCCCGTCTGAAGCGGTTCCCTTTGTCTATTTGGTTTCTGTTTGCAGGTCTCTTCAGTGTCTAATTTCCGCCCTGACACAGGCGGGCGGAGGTGGTCTCTTGTTCAGGTTCGCTAGTTCAGTCGTGCTGCGGGGAGGGAGGGGTGCTGCAGACAGATATCGCTGGCCTGTGTAGGGAGCGCTCACAGTGTTCCGGCCACACTGGGTTTGCCCCTGCTCACGGGTGGGTGCTCTCCCCGTCTACGCTGCTCAGGCTCCCGGCTGCTCTTTATGGAGCGGGCCCTGCGTTTCGTGCCGTTCTAGTTTTCGGGTATTCCACAAAAGCGCGGACTCGGTTGCACCTGCGTTTTGTGCCTTCCCCGGCCGGAGCAGCTCAGGCTGCCGGGAGCTTGACGGGTGCACTCTCCCCTCCACGGCCCCAGCCTCAGTTTCCGCACGCGCCAGTTGGGTGCGTGCGCCTTGTGTTTAGCCGTGACCCTCCTGGCGGATGTCGACCATCCAGAATCTCAGGAAGTCTTTGGTTAGAAACTGGAGGCCTGTTTGCAGCGTGGTAGGGGGTGCTGTCTTTGGGGCCGAGTTTGCCCCTTTCCCCTCCCTCCTGCCTCCTGCCTCCGGTGGGGATGGGCTGGTCCGCAGCTGGCTAGCTCCTCTGGACTTGCTCGATCCCTTTGTTCTGCGAACGGCCGGTAGTGTGTTCGGACCGGTTAATTTTCTCTCTCTCTTTTGCCATCCCACAGTTTAAGTTGCTATCTCACAAAAGCTCCCTCCGATTGCCGGGCACTCCGGCCGGGTCCTTATCCTAAGCAATGCCGCCCGCTCCTCTCCGTTCCGCCCCCACTTGCTGGTGGCAGATGCGGGCGTCTGGGAGTTGCTTTTAGGCATGTAATCTGTGGGTTTTATTTATTTTTCCTCCTAGTTAGGTTGCCCTCCGAGATTCGAAAACTTTCCCCAGAACCGCCAGTGCGAGGGTTTCCTGGTGTTTGGAAACTTCCTCTATTAAAACTCTCTTCCCGGGATGGGTCTCCGTCCCTAGCTCTTTTGTCTCTTTATCTTTTATATTTTGTCCTACCTCCTTTCAAAGACAATGGGCTGCTTTTCTGGGCGCCTGATGTCCTCAGCTAGCGATCAGAAGTTGTTTTGTGAAGTTTGCTCAGCATTCAGTTGTTCTTTCGATGAATTTGTAGGGGAGAAAGTGGTCTCCCCATTCTATTTCTCTGCCATCTTGGCTCCTCCCCCGACATGTTTCTTTCATGTCCTTCAGGCTGGAACAGTTCTTCAGTTTTTCCTTGACTTAAGACCTTAGGCCAATTATTTTGTAGAATGGACCCAAAGTTCTGTTGTCTGGTGTCTTCTCATGATTAGATTCAGGTTTTATATCTTAGAGAAGAATTTCGCAAAACTGATTCTGTGTTCTTCTCTTTGCATTCTATCAGATGGTGTATAATTGCATTTGTCTCATTGCTGGTGATATTTGCTGATCACCTGATTAAGATGGTGCCCATCAGATTTTTTGTATTAGTTTCCTATTGTTGCTGTAACAAATCACAGCCTTGGTGGCTTAAAACAATACAAATGTATTCTTTTATAGTTCTGAAGGCCAGACTTCCCGGCACGGTTTTACTTGGCTTGTCATGGTGTTGGCAGGGCAGGTTCTTTCTGGAGGGTTTAGAATAGAATCTTATCTTTTCCAGCTTTTGGAGACAGCCTGTATTCTTTGGCTTGTGGCCCCTTCCTCCATCTTCAAAGGATGTCACTCCAACCTCCACTCCCATTGTCACATCATCTTCTTTTTGACCCTCCTGCTTCTTTATTAGGACCCCTGTGATTATATTGGGGCCACCCAAATAATACAGAATAATCTTCCCATCTCAAATGTTTAATTTAGTCACATCTGTGAAGTCCTGTTTGCCATGTGAGATAATACATACACTGGTTCTGGGTACTAGGATGTGGTAGATGTCTTCAGGGGGAGCAGTTATTCAGCATATCACTTCCTCATTGTAAAATCATTCCCTTCCTTTTGTAATATTTTGTGGACAGATACTTGGATCTCTGGTTTCTGTTAGTGGAGAATGCTATTTGGAAATCAAGATCTGGGTGCTAGGTATATTCGCTGCTACTGAGATGTCATTGTTGCTAGGCTCACTTAGTCGAGTTAGGAAATATGTATGTATGTGTGTGTATAGGTCTACATCTGTATTTCAATATTAAAAGATATTAGTTGGTTCATACTGATACCTTCAGTTCCAGTCTTGACACCACAGAGGTCATTTCATGTTTTCTAATCATACATGTAACTCACTTCTCTGACAAGAAAAACTGATTCCAGTTGTCCTTACTATATTAGCTTACTTGATAAGTCTCCTTGCATGTTACCACTCTCCCTTCTGCTACTCCTCCTCCCCCTCCCTGAATCCCTCTTCATCTTACCTGATTCTGGTAACTCTTGCCACATAGCGTTCTCATGGGGATTCTTTCCTCAAAGCATGGTGGTAACAGGGTAGGTGGACTTAGATGACAGCTTTGGAGCATTCTGTTATCTGCAGAGTTCTTTTATTTACTTATCTGGTATCTCATTTAAGGACTTTGGTTTTGTAGGTGTTTTTTTTATTTTTCTTGCCGTGCCACGTGGCCTTTGGGGATCTTAGGTCCCTGACCAGAGTTTGAACCTGTGTACCCAACAGTGGAAGTGCAGTCTTAACTACTGGACCACTAGGGAAGTGTCGTAGTTTTTTTTAATTTTATGAAAAATGTTTTATTTGATATTAAACAGTAATTATCTCAATTTTGTTGGGGCAACATCCAAAGCATTACAGTGAGGAGCCTGTTGAACATATACCTTCCCTCTATCAGCCCTAATCAGGGTGTTGACCTTGGCCATATTAATGTTGTAGAGCTTCTTCATAGATGTGGTACTTTGTCTTTGATATCCATAATGAACACAACTGTGTTGCTGTCTTCTGTCATCTTCATGCTCGCTGCTCAGGGGGAACTTGATGACATAATGATTAAGCTTATTGCTCTTCCAAGGGTAATTGGGCTGCCTTTGGAGTGTCGTGGGCCACCCAGAAGGTGGGTAATGGGATCTCTATTTCTGTGGCTGTGGATGCCTTTTAGCACTGCCTTCTTGGCCTTCCAAGCTTTCGTCTTTGGCTTTGGTGTGACATGGGCTTCTTTCTTTGCTTTTTGTATGCCATCTTCATGGAAAGGTAGATTTTTATTTTAAAACTTAATCTAAAATTTTTTTAAACTTGGGAGACTTATTTAAACTAAGTGATTGTGGTGAGCTTAGTAAAACAGTATATGGTATGTTGTCTTTGGTTTAATTCCTTTTAAAATTGAATTGCAGATTTTTCCTGGGGACTAAAATGATGCCTTTTGTTACAACTTTTAAATGTTTTAATTTCTTATGAGTTTGTGTGACTTTTCTCATTTAACTTAATTATTTTTATGTTTGAAGAGTATCATTTCTGCTTGGTTTCCTTAATAAAGTGCATGTTTCAACTATTTTGCACTTTTTGTTACTTCTGTAGCAGAAGGAAAAGGAGGAGAGAATTTTCTTAGAAATCACTATGTAATTAAATATTTTGGGTTCAAGTCAGGTTTTAAGTTTTTCAATTAGAAGTTATTATGTCTCACATGAAAAATGATTGCCTGGTAGTTGAATAAAATTTTCCAGATAGATCACTTGTTCTAAGTGGTAGAAAACTGAGCCTATCTTGTGAATTTTTCTTAAAATGTTAAGTAGAGAGTACTTTGAGGAGGGCATGGCAACCCACTCAGTATTCTTGCCTGGAAAATCCCCATGGACAGAGGAGCTTGGCAGGCTGCAGTCCATGGGGTCGCAGAGAGTCAGACACGACTGAGCAGCTCAGCACAGCACAGAGAATACTTTCATGTTCCAGTAAAGTATCAGCATGATAATGAAGGTTAGTGTGGTTTAACTCTGATTTTGCCTTCACTGTGAAAATGGTTTAACTTATCCCCTTATTTTTCTTTTTTTTTTTGACAGAGCAAAATCGATTAAAGAATATCAGAAAAGTATATGGAAGATGTATGTGGTACCGTTTACGGTTATTAAAACCCCAGCCAAATATTATTCCTACAGTAAAGTAAGTAATTTGTTTCAATTAAAAGCAAAACAACACATGCTTTGTATTTACTCTTTGCTAGGTATAATATGAAATGGGGTATAATGATGAATGGGCTTCCCAGGTGGCACTGTGGTAAGGAATCCTGCCAAAGCAAGAGACACAAGGGATCCAGGTTCAGTCCCTGGTTGGGAATTGCCTGGAGTGGGAAATGGTACCTTGCTCCAGTATTCTTGCCTGGGGAATCCCATGGGCAGAGAGGCCTGGTGGGCTGCAGTCTGTAGGTCGCAGAGAGTCGGACACGACTGAGCACATAATGATGAATAAAATCTGTGTCTGTGGAGAAATTGTAACCTTAGTAGGAGTAAGATGTGCTTAGTTAATTTGAGAACAGTCTGAACTGAGTGGTTTAGAAGTTCAAAAGAGAGAGAGGGTACTTCCGACTAGAGGGAGGAGGGGAGAAAGAGAAGTCAAATTTTGAAGGAAGATCTTATATATCTTGTGTCACGATTTGAATTTTGTCTCAGATTATGGAGGAATCTTTAAAAGATTATCAAAAGCATGGAGGTGACATAGTCAAGTTTGCATTTCATAGTGATTGAAGTTTGTTGATGCATACTGTGTGCCAGGTGCTGTACTAGGATTTTATATGTTACTCATTAGTTTTATATTAACTTTTAGGTAGATATTTGTGCTTTTTCCTGAATGAGGAAACTGAAACTAAGAAGATGAGGAAACTTGACTAAGTTCTTGCAGCAAGAAGTGGTAGAGTGAGGACCTGGTTACCCTTTATTTTTGCAAGGCCATCTACATAATTAGGCCATTAGCATGTTTAATCAGAGTGGATGTCTTTGATTTTTCAGGGCTTTGTTGGTTAGCACCGAGGCTTTGGATCTTCACCCTAGGTCATCAGTTTAGAGGTAACGTGAAACTGAGGGGAAGTGAAGGAGCGGCCATTAGTGAAGGACTGTACCCTGTGAATCACCTCCATATATCTGTCTAGTAAGTAGGAGGGCAGCACCTGGCAGAGGAAATGAGTGAAAGTAGAACCAGTTATTTTTAAATCTTGGTTTAAATGATGATAGTTTTCAACATATGTGTATTACTTCAGGAGACTTAAATAGTTTTCTTTGCAAGATTTGACTTTGCCTGGTTTAGTTCCTTTGTATAGGGAGGGAAGTCTTAGCTTTAATAGTATGAAACTAAAAGGCAAAATTAGTGTTTACCAGAGTAGTTTCATGTTTGCTATGTATTCCTTGCTCTTGCTTCTCTTTTTAAACTTATGAGGCTTTCAGTTTCTTCTCTTTTGGGCTTTGGTCAACACATTGTGGGTATCTGAACCTCAAATTTCAAGGGGAAGAAAACCTAACTTTGTGATGTTCTCTTCAGTAATTAGTAAAGAGATTTACTTAAATTGAACTTCAGATTATTGGATGTTTAAGTAGGAATTAAATAGTATTGGTAAAAATATGAATAAGATCAGGAGCCATCCAAACTTTTCTGCTACTTAATCCTGAAGCATTCTTTCAAAATTAAGCAGTCATTATGTATATACTTTAATTTCTGAAAGTTGCTTCCGAAATGACTTTTAAGGTATGCTTAAAGAAAAAATACAGGACATTAATTACTGAAACCACATGTAGGGAAAATGCTTGTCTTTTCAGAGAAACCAAACATGCTTTTAAAAACCTGGGCCCAGAGCATGACGTAGTCTGTCCTGTTTCTTCCTTTGGTTTGGCTCTCAGGAAATCAGAGGGGGGTTTTATTGGCTGCGGTAGCTTCCGTCAGTTCGGGACCTCTTGTCAGCCTCTGCGTGTTGCTTTGTCCTTTGGCTCAGAGAGCCAGATGCTGCGCATAGAGCAGTCCAACACGGGCTGTGGTGTATTTCAGGTATTTTGCTCCCTTTCTCTTCTCACCTTGTTTGCTTTAAAAATTTTACTTTAGTGGTTTTCAGTTTCTCTTTTATCTTTGTTTTTTGAGCTTTGTAGCCTTTTGGGAAAGTTGGCAAAACAAAATGTGGAGTTACTAAGTTTGTGTGGAAGTAAAATATAATTTAAAATGTTTTTTAGCATATTGAGGGTATTAGCAAACTTTGCCTTTGAGTCACAAGTTTCTATTTTAAATTATTTTCATTATTCAGTCAATAAGTAGTTACTGTGTGCTGTGTATGTGTCAAATATTATACTAGGTGCTGATATACTGTGAGTAACAAAATACTGGCAAGTAAACAAATGATGATAATAGAGTTTAATAAGGGTTGTAAAGGGAGGTTGGGGTGCCATGAAAGAACGGAGGGAGGGCTCTTAACTGGCTTGAGACAGTGAAGGCTTTCTTGAGTAAGTGAGGGGTCCTAGTTGAGAGCTGAGACATGGGCAAGAGTTAGTGGTAACAGCCAAGAGCTGCCATGAATTGTTTATCATCTTCGAAGTGCCTTTTAGATGCTTTACATATCTTTGTTGTTGTTGTACAGTTGCTGAGTCAGGTCCGACTCTTTGCAACCTCATGGACTGCAGCACACCAGGCTTCCCTGTCCTTCACTGTCTCCTGGAGTTTGCTCAAACTCATGTCCATTGAGTCGGTGATGCCATCCAACCATCTCATTCTCTGTTGCCCCCTTCTCCTCCTGCCCTCAATCTTTCCCAGCAACAGGGTCTTTTCCAGTGAATCAGCTCTTTGCGTCAGGTAGCCAAAATATTAACTTCAGCTTCAGTAGTAGTCCTTCCAATTCAGGGTTGATTTCCTTTAGGATTGACTGGTTTGATCTTCTTGCTGTCCAGAGGACGCTCAAGAGTCTTCTCCACCACCACAATTTGAAAGCATCAGTTCTTCAGCATTCAGCCTTCTTTATCGTCCAACTTTGATATCTACATATGACTACTGGAAAAATCATAACTTTGACTATACAGACCTTTGTCAGCAGAGTGATGTCTCTACTGTTTAATATGCTGTCTAGGTTTGTCATAGCTTTCCTTTCAAGGAGCAAGCGTCTTTTAATTTCATGGTTGCAGTTGCTGTCTGCAGTGATTTTGGAGCCCAAGAAAATAAAATACGCCACTGTTTCCTCTTTCACTCCCTCTTTTTGCCATAAAGTGATGAAACTAGATGCCATGATGTTATTTTTTTTGAACGTTGAATTTTAAGCCAGCGTTTTCACCTCTCCTCTTTCACCTTCACCAAGAGGCTCTTTAATTCCTCTTCGCTTTCTGCTGTTAGAGTGGTATCATCTTCGTATCTTAGGTTGTTGATATTTCTCCCGGCTGTCTTGATTGCAGCTTGTGCTTCATCCAGCCCGGCATTTCACATTGATGTACTCTGCATATAAGTTAAATAAGGAGGGTGACAATATACAGCCTTGACATACTCCTTTTTTGATATACTCCAATTTTGAACCAGTCTGTTGTCCCATGTTTGGTTCTCTTGCTTCTTGGTCTGCATATAGGTTTCTCAGGAGGCTAGTAAGGTGGTCTAGTATTCCCATCTCTTTAAGAACTTTCCAGTTTGTTGTGATCCAGACAGTCAAAGGCTTTTAGCTTAGTCAGTGAAGCGTAAGTAGATGTTTTTCTGGAATTCCCATGCTTTTTCTATGACCCAACGGATGTTGGCAATTTGATCTCTGGTTCCTCTGCCTTTTCTAAATCCAGCTTGTACATCTGGAAGTTCTCGGTTCACATACTGTTGAAGCCTAGCTTGAAGGATTTTGAGCATTACCTTGCTAGCATGTGAAAGGAGCACAGTTGTGCAGTAGTTTGAGCATTCTTTGGCATTGTCTTTCTTTGGGATTGAAATGAAAACCGACCTTTTCCAGTCCTGTGCCCTTTGTTGAGTTCTCCACATTTGCTGACGAATTGAGTGCAGCACTTTAACAGCATCATCTTTTAGTATGTTAAATAGTTCAGCTGGAATTCCATCACCTCCACTAGCTTTGTTTGTAGTAATGCTTCGTAAGGCCCACTTGACTTCACACTCCAGGATGTCTGGCTCTAGGTGAGTGACCACACCAATATGGTTATCCAGGTCATTAAGACCTTTTTTGTACAGTTCTGTGTATTCTTGCCACCTCTTCTTAATCTCTTCTGCTTCTGTTAGGTCCTTGCTGTTTCTGTTTTTTATCGTGCCCATCTTTGCATGAACTGTTCCTTTGGTATCTCCAATTTTCTTAAAGAGATTTTTAGTCTTTGCCATTCTATTGTTTTCCTCTTGTTTTTGCATTGTTCACTTAAGAAGGCTTTCTTATCTCTTCTTGCTGTTCTCTGGAACTCTGCATTCAATTGGGTGTATCTTTCCCTTTCTTCTTTACATACCTGATCTTATTTCTCAGAGCCACTCTAGAAATTGGAAACTGAGCTAAGCAACTTGCCAAGATCTCTTAGGTAATAAGAGGTGGAACTGGGATTTGACTTAAGGCAGTTTTGTTCCAGAGTTTGTGGTCCTAACTACCTATCACTGGATAGGCAGGTAAAACTGGAAGTATTCTAGGTATTCTTTGTCTTTGGACATGTGGAAAGCAGCTTCCAGTATTATGCCCTTTAATAAGGTTTAGAACATTGATTTGGCCAGGTAGAACAAAATTTGCATCTGAGTGCTATCTGTGTTTGTTACTCTGAGCTTAGTCAGAACTGAGTATAAGATCCTGACCACATGCTCAAGGAGTTTGCAATGAGCCAGAGGAAGAGGGTCATGGTTTATGTTTCTTTGTGACTGTAACCGTGGTCTTCCTGTTGATCATCTTGGCAGAGGTTATGGATTGGGTAGATAATTCAAGTTGAGTCTTGAAGGATGAATACAGTTTGGATATGCAGAAATGAAGAATGGGAATTCTAGGTATAAAGACCCAGGGGAGCAAGAGCATGATGGTGGAAAAACTTAGGGAACTTTGGGAGGTGGCAATTTATTTTGTTTGAAAACCTAGCGTGATAAAAGTAAAGAGGTAGGTTGGAATTGGGTCCGAGAAACTCAATCCAAATAAACATGTTTTAAGCTATGTTTCTATCAAGAGAGCTTAAATGCGTGAAATGTTTTCTCTTTGTGTTTGAAAACAGATCACTTCGGTTTGTTTGATTAGGATTCCTATGATTCATTTATGTCTTGTTTAAGAGTTCCTATCTAATATAACAGATGGTGATACAAAACATATAAAAAATAAAAATTATTCCATTTCATCACTTAAAGATAACCACCGTTAAGATTATTTACCTTCTATATCTTTATTTACAAAAAATAGGATTACATTGTACATACAGCTTTGAAATCTGTTTTTCTAATTTAACACTACAAAGTAGAGAATCTTCCACAGCAAGTATTTTTAGTGTCTAGATAGCATTTCTCTATAGTTGTACTGTTACTGATCTGTTCAGTATTCTATTGATGGACATTTATGTGTGTTTTCAGGTATTAATTATATCTGTTACCACCCTTATACTTTATAAACTTAGTTTTAGTTTGTTTGCTTCTTAATTTCTTGAAGTGGAGTAGATTGATAGTTTAAAAGGTATATAGTTCTTTAGGGCTTTTGATAACCTTATTGCCAGATATTCCTTCAGAGTGTACAATGTATGAGAGTTCCTTTTTTCCTTAGCTTCTCCAACACTGGTAATATCAATTTTTAAAGTATTTACTAAATAGAACATACTGAGGTAGAAAGAAATTATTCAACACCCCCCCAAACTATATGTTCTTTTATGTCTGTCTTTTTAACCTGTAGCGCACATCTTTCTATCATGCTCAGTTGCATCTGACTCTTTGTGACCCTTTTGACTGTAGCTCTTCTGTCCATGGGATTTTTCAGGCAGGAATACTGGAGTGGCTTGCCATTTCCTCCTCCAGGGGATCTTCCCAACCCAGGGATGGAACCTGAGTCTCCAGTGTCTCCTGAATTGCAGGCGAATTCTTTACCCATTGAGCCACTGGGGAAGCCCACATGTCTGTCTGTATTTATTAGCTAAAAATGTTCCATTTTGTGGCTTTATCTTGGTTTATTTAATTAGTCTCCTATGAATGATTTATTTTAGTTCCCAATAAATGGACATTAAGTTTGTTTCCAAATTTTTACTGTTATAGTAAACAAGACTACTTAAGGCTACTTGTCTTTGCACCATTGACCAATTATTTTTTGTAGTTTATCTTACTAAAAGTGTAGTTGCAAGGTCAAGAGCAATTATTTTTACATTAAATGGGTAAATAGCACTAATTTAAGTCAGTGAGACTACTATAGATTGTTCTGTGTCTTGATCTTGCCAAAATGTCTTTAGAATCTAAAGGAAAGCCAAAGAGTTGTATTACTTACATTTCACTTATCTTTTTTCTCAACAGGAAAATAGTTCTTCTAGCAGGATGGGCATTGTTCTTATTCCTTGCATACAAAGTTTCCAAAACAGACCGAGAATATCAAGAATACAATCCTTATGAAGTATTAAATTTAGATCCTGTAAGTAGTATTTTTATATAATGTACATTAGTTTAATGATCCCTTGAAAATAGTGTAGGCCCACAGCCTAAAAGAAATTGAGTTGTGCCTAAAGAAATCAGACTGATCAGTTAAAAAAGATACCTAATCTATTATTATTCTAATGCATATATATATATATATTTGTGTTTTTGAAGCTATAGATGTCGATTACCATCCTATTAAGAGTTGGTTTGTAATTGCTAAAATGTAAAAATATTTGGAGATGAGAAGTTAGTATATTTTTAAAAGACATTTCTAAGATTGGTTTAATGCTAAGTTAGAACCAGGAGGTTTATTTATGTTAGTTGGATAGGACCCTGTTTTAGTTGACACTAAGGCAGTATGTTAAGTCTTTATGTCTTATAAAGAACTGGTAGCTTTGTCATAGAAATTCAGATTAACCTGGAAAGTATCTGTTGGGTGACTTTCTCTTTTGCTTTTCTTTAACATTTTTTTAAAATTAATTTTTATTGGAGTATAGTTGCTTTACAGTGTTGTGTATTAGGTGACTTTCTTAATTGAACTTGATTGATGGGTCTCAGTAGAAAACTAGTCTTTTAAGTTTATCTGTGGCGAGTTAGAACTGAAATGAATGCTAGAGATCATCTAGCATTTTCTTCTGATGGAGAAAATGAGGCCTGGAAAATCTGTGTCTTGTCTGGGGCTCCATAACTTCCCAGTGAACAAGTTGAACCTAGTGCTCTTTCCATTCCTCCCCCATACTGCTATCCTTCATTTCTTGTCTCTGCTCAGTAGATGGCTTGATCCAGAGAGTCATACAATGCAGAGTAAGGAGTGTATTTATCTTCTGGTTTTCTGCGTTGTAGAAGAAAAGTTTGCATACCATCTGATTTTTCTTACTGTGATGATCATGGTCATCAAGAGAGATTAAGTTTTAAAGGTTTGGGAACAATTTAATGCCATAAAAAAATCAATGTGAGATGCGCGTTGAGGGTGGAGCCGCTGGGTAAAGGACCGGAAACTTAAGAGACAAAGTTCCGAGCCTCACCCCCAGCCCCGCCGACTGGCCCAGCGGACCCCCCGCAGACCTGCCGATGGCCCTCGGATCTGCTGTCCTTTCGAGTGCGCCATGTCTGGTTCATCCAGTGTCGCGGCTATGAAAAAAGTGGTTCAACAGCCCCGGCTGGAGGCCGGGCTCAATCGGGTGAAGGTTTCCCAGGCAGCTGCAGATTTGAAACAGTTCTGTCTGCAGAATGCTCAACATGACCCTCTGCTGACTGGAGTATCTTCAAGTACAAATCCCTTCAGGCCCCAGAAAGTCTGTTCCTTTTTATAGTAAGATGAATCTTGACAAGGTTTTCCAAACCACTTTTCATAAACCAGTGAATGTTCAAAGGAAAGCTAAATTTGAAGCCTGTACAAAAGCCTGTCTGTAACGTGCCATACTACACAAGCTTCTACTTTTGTCAGTCCTTAATGTCTACCTCTATGAATATTCTTAACTTTCTGTTTCACAAGGGTAATTATTTTATATACACTGATGGCAGCATACAATAAAATACTTAGTATAAAAAAAAATCAATGTGAAAAATTGATTAATAGAAATTGAATCTAATTAGGAAACAACTAAGGTAAACTTACTGTTACTTAATATTAAAATGTTGTCAAGCAGATGAAACCAGATGGTCTTCAGATCATTTTTTAGAAAAGAGGTTAACCTTTGATTTGAGCTTTTTCTCAGCCAGAATTAATTAACTTGATTGTTCTTTGATATTTAAAATTCACTGTCATTTTATTTTATTTAAATTGCATTTATATGTTGCCAATCTCAAATCATCTATATGCATGGAATATAGTTTGATGCTCAGTAAAATAAAATATATTGGACAGCATAAATATTTTTACTTAAAAATATGTGGGTGAAATTTATAGGACAAGATATATAGAATGAAAACTTCATTTTCTGAAAATATTGAGTAGTTCAGTATTTTAAGTTCAGAATGGGATGGATTATGTTTTACAGTAGTCTGCTTATTTTTACTAAAAGAAAGCCTTTTCTTTTAGGGGGCAACTGTAGCAGAGATTAAGAAACAGTATCGTTTGCTGTCTCTTAAATATCATCCAGATAAAGGAGGCGATGAAGTTATGTTCATGAGAATAGCAAAAGCTTATGCAGCGTAAGTATTTTAGGACTCGTTATACATTTTTAAGGTTTCTATTGGAATAAAATAGTAATCAGTAAAATAATTGTCATATACTTTTTTTAAGTGTTGACCTCATATGTTGAGTCTTCTATGGAATTTCCTGATAACCCTGGAGTGGTAATTTAGCTAAACCTTAATGTTAAGTAACTTACAGTAGTGCTTTTGCCATGTGAGTTGATTAAGTAATAAGTGATATGTTAATTGAGCTATTTTCAAAGCATACTGATTAGAAGAGGATATACTAACACCTTGCTTTCATTTCTAGGCTTTTTATTAGGCTAGATCTAGTTCTTTTAAATGAGACAAGCATATAAGCATTATAGCTTGTTTCATTTAAACTATTTAAAGATGAGTTTAATTTTTGGAAAACAGGATAGAGGATATAAAATTTAGTTATTTCTTGAGTGTTAATATTGCAAGAGATAAAAAGGTAGCTGGATTCTTCAGGAATCAAGATAGGTATATCTCACACAACCCTGATGTTGAATTAAAGAGTAAAATACAGACAAGATGTTATCTGTTTTTTGATGAAAACTCAGTGATGTACAGTTTTGTAAACTAACTTAAAAAATATAAGTAATAGAATATGCAGATATAATAGCAGACTGTGAAAGTGGAATATGAGTGACAAAAGTTTGGGAAATACTGTCTTACGCATTTTTGTGCCAATAGAAGTGTATTGACCATGTCTCCTTTCTGCATACACCCTCCTCCCCGGCCCCATCCTTCGGGGATTGCTTGTTTTCTGGGTGAATATGATTCTGTAATAAAGCAGCACTTGCAGCAGATTCTGAAGTGTGCTCTGCATTTTCTTTTCTACGCAGCAGATGTTCTCCAGATCGCTGTCTTTCAGTTGGTGTGTTCTTTCACCCTTTTTTCAGTGTCTCCTTCACACATTGACCCTTGTTGCACAAGTATTGAAGTGCCTTAGTTGCTGTCTTTAGGTTATTTAAGAACTGAAGATTTCCAGAGGAAGTCAGCCAAGATTAATGAGTAGTTTTACTTCTGGTGTTGTGCCCCCCCCCCCCCCCCCCCCCGCCCTGCCTTAGTTTTCAGGTATTGTAGCATTTTACAATAATGACTTTATTATGTATGGTCACTATTCTAAAAAGTACTGAAGAATAACATATGGCCTTTGGTTTTAACTTGGTTACATGATCATGATGTAGAGTGTTTTGTATGTAAAAGGTCTAAAATAGTTGATGGTCTATCAGGCAGATGAAGAAGTAAAATGATTATGGGACCCAGAACTCTTGAGTTACTTTAACCTGTACAAATATAACTAGATTAGTTAAAAGGGTACATTTTACTGAATATGTATGTGATAGGTTTGAGTGATTGAATTGAAGCTGCTGTCTTACGTATAACTCTAGTAGCCTAAGATACGCATTTCAAGCGACTTGTGGAATGCAGTTATAGACTTTGATCTACAAAGTTTTCGAGAATTTGCCTTGGTTATTTAAGCTAGTTTCTCTTCCCTTATTTGCTCATGATAATAAATAAGTGGGTCATTCCTATTTCTTCAGACCAGATTATTACTTAAAGGAAACAAGGTGCGGTTATTTTTGAGGAGTTAGGCCAGCTTATGAATTCTCTGATTCATTTTTCTGGATACAGTTGGGATTTTGCTTTTGGGTGTAGAACCTGTGTTTAAACTATTTTATAACACATGGGCAGCATGAATTAACATATTTAAAACTATTTTAACTTTTATAACCTATGTTTGCATGTATTCTTATATATGAATACATAATTTAGCTGTGTATAGCCAACTCAGGTTGCTCATATATCATTTAGTGAAGGCATTTGGATTTATAATCTGAGGTTCCTGAAATGGTGTACAGAATTTATGTGTATTGGTAAATGTGCATTTTTTTCCTAGGACAAGAGGGGCATAGATTTCATTAGATTTAGATTCCTAATGGGGTTTGTGATATAACCTCCCACCCTCAAAGTAAAGGGATATAATCATGTTTAGGAAACTTCACACTCCTTGAATTTAAAAAAAATTACGTTAGTACCAGTGGTGTTGTGTGAGCTTATTATAATCACACAGCTTCTAAGTTCTTTAAGTCTTAGAAATGGTATTATACTGAAGCACTAATAAGTAGCAAAAAATCAGTTGCTTTCTTAAACTGACTTTTAAAAAAGTTGGTAATTCCTTTGACTATACAGAATGGTTACACGACAGTTGTACACAGATTGGTTTAATGAAGTTAATGAAGTTTTATGAGATGAAGTTTTAATCAGATGTGTGTGCAGGTTGAAAAATCAAATGCTTCTTTGATGTGAGCTGTGCTTTATTTTGCAAATCTGAGGGCATTGAATAGAGAACAGAACAGTTTATGTTGCTGCCAGCATTAGAAAGGCAGAAAGAGACAGAGATAATTATTTTGGGGAAAAGAATCTCATTAGGAGACAGAAAATTCAAAGAAACAATAGCTAAAGCCCTTGATGAGGTGGACAATTATACAGTGAAACCACAGCAAAAGTTGTTGAGAAATATCTCTCCCTTAGCAGAAAAGAATCTTAGCACCACTCCTTATTAACTTGCAGTCTAACAGTGCCTTTCCTTGGCTCTTGTATTTTACCGTAGCCTTAGATCAAATAGTGTAAGTGAAGTTACAGTTAAATAAGGACTAAAGATGTCAAGGTGCTTTATTTTTGTAAGTGACCAGATTGATAAGTATAAAAATATTTCAAATCATTGAAAAATTTTGCAATTTTATTAAGGTACTTTTGCATTCTTTCTCTCAACTTGGAGCTTTATCGAATAGAAAATATATTGTATCTTAGGTACATATGTTCTGGGAAATAAAAATATGGCTAAAATTCAGTTCAGTCACTCAGTTGTGTCTGACTCCCTGCAACCCCATGGACTGCAGCATGTCAGGTTCCCTGTCCATCACCAACTCCCAGAACCTACGCAAACTCATGTCCATCATGTTGGTGATGCCATCCAACCATCTAATCTTCTGTCGTCCTCTTCTGTTCCTGCCTTCAGTCTGTCCTAGCATCAGGGTCTTTTCCAGTGAGTCGGTTCTTCGCTTCAGGTGGCCAAAGTATTGGAGTTTCAGCTTCAGTCCTTCCAATGAATATTCAGGACTGATTTCCTTTAGGATTGACTGGCTGCATCTCCTTGGAGTCCGAGGGACTCTGAAGAGTCTTCTCGAACATCACAGTTTAAAAGCATCAATTCTTCGGTGCTCAGCTTACTTTATAGTCCAACTCTCACATCTGTACATGACTACTGGAAAAATCGTAGCTTTGACTAGACAGACCTTTGTTGGTAAAGTAATGTCACTGCTCTTTAATATGCTGTCTAGGTTTGTCATAGCTTTTCTTCCAAGGAGCAAGCGTCTTTTAATTTCATGGCTGCAGTCACCATCTGCAGTGATTTGGAGCCCCCCAAAATAAAGTCTGCCACTGTTTCCATTGTTTCCCCATCTATTTGCCATGAAGTGATGGGACCAGATGCTGTGATCTTTGTTTTCTGAATGTTGAGTTTTAAGCCAACTTTTCACTCTCCTCTTTCACTTTCATCAAGAGGCTCTTTAATTCCTCTTCGCTTTCTGCCATAGGATTGTGTCATCTGCGTATCTGAGGTTATTGATATTTCTCCCAGCAGTCTTGATTCCAGCTTGTGCTTCATCCAGTCTGGCATTTTGCATGATGTACTCTGCATATAAGTTAAAGAAGCAGGGTGACAATATACAGCCTTTACATACTCCTTTCCCAATTTGGAACCAGTCTCTTATTCCATGTCCAGTTCTAACAATTGCTTCTTGTCTTGCATACAGATTTCTCAGGAGACAGGTTGGGTGGTCTGGTATTCCCATCTCTTTCTGAATTTTCCACAGTTTGTTGTGCTCCACACAGTCAAAGGCTTTGGCATAGTCAATAAAACAGAAGTAGATATTTTTCTGGAACTTTCTTGATTTTTTTGATGATCCAGCGAATGTTGGCAATTTGATCTCTGGTTCCTCTGCCTTTTCTAAATCCAGCTTGAACATCTGAAAGTTCTTGGTTCACATACTGTTGAAGCCTGGCTTGGAGAATTTTGAACGTTACTTTGCTAGCATTTGAGATGAGTGCAATTGTGCAGTAATTTGAGCATTCTTTGGGATTGCCTTTCTTTGGGATTAGAATGAAAACTGACCTTTTCCAGTCCTGTGGCCACTGCTGAGTTTTCCAAATTAGCTGGCCTACTGAGTGTAGCACTTTAATGGCATCTTTTAGGATTTGAAATAGCTCAACTGGAATTTCATCAACTCCACTAGCTTTGTTCATAGTGATGCTTTCTAAGGCCCCCTTGACCTCGAATTCCAGGATGTCTTGACTCTAGGTGAGTGATCACACCATTGTGGTTATCTGTGTTGTGAAGATATTTTCTGTATAGTTCTTCTGTGTACTCTTGCCACTTCTTCTTAATATCTTCTCCTTCTGTTAGGTCCATGCCATTTCTGTCCTTTATTGTGTCCATCTTTGCATGAAATGTTCCCTTGATATCTCTAATTTTCTTCAAGAGAGCTCTAGTTTTTCCCATTATATTATTTTCTTCTGTTTCTTTGCATTGATCGCTGTGGAAGGCTTTCTTATCTCTCCTTGCTGTTCTTTGAAATTCTGCATTCAAATGGGTATATCTTTCCTTTTCTCCTTTGCCTTTAGCTTGTCTTCTTTTTTTCAGCTATTTGCAAGACCTCCTCAGACAGCCCTTTTGCCTTTTTGCATTTCTTTTTGTTGGGGATGGTCTTGATCACTGCCTCCTGGACAATGTCATGCCTCTGTCCATAGTTCTTCAGGCACTCTATCAGATCTAATCCCTTGCGTCTTATTTGTCACTTCCACTGTATAATCGTAAGTGATTTGATTTAGGTCATACCTGAATGGTCTAGTGGTTTCCCCTACATTCTTCAATTTAAGTCTGAATTTTGCAATAAGGAGTTCATGATATGAGCCACAGTCAGCTCACTGTATAGAGCTTCTCCATCTTTGGCTAAAGTTAGGTTTGAACATAATCTTTTGCCAGTAGATCTGCAAGAATGTCTTCCTTATTATGTTATTGGTCATTTTTATATGTTTGTGACTGCCTTGTCTCCTTAACAACATTGTAAAGTTTCTGAAGGAAAGAGTTCTCTTAACGTTTTTTTTTTAAAACGTCTAGCCAGGACCTGGAATAAAGCTACTCTTACCCTGTGCCTTGAGCCATTGCCCAGGCCATGGGTTATATTTATGTTTACGTATTAAAATAAAGAGTCGCTATCTCTCATATTGCCTGAGTTAGGAAGCTGTTGCTTTAGCAGGTATTTGCCTAGTCTTCCTGGAAGTTGGCTTAGGAGAAAATTGTGATCTCAGTACAGTGCAAATGACCTTTACCGCAGCAGTGGAATTTTATAGGTGTTATTTATTTTTTTCTTTGAGACTGTGGTGCAAGTTTTGGAGGGATTATTATTAATCAAGTATTAAGTTAACATTTAAAATATAGGTATATATCATTATTAAAATAAAAGCATGCTCATTGAAAAAACTTTGGGAAATAAATGAGTGTATAAGATTTTTAAAAGTCACCTCTAATTCCCCCTGCCTCCTTAGAAAATGTAATAGCCTTTAAAGTTTGATTTTCTGTCTTGAACTGGCTAAACTTGAGAATTCTTGGGCCAACTAAGAATTTGTATCCGGGCTCATTAATTAGCATTGTTTGTTAATGCTTTATTGACTACGCCAAAGCATTCGACTGTGTGGGTCACAACAAACTGGAAAATTCTGAAGGAGATGGGAATACCAGACCACCTGACCTGCCTCTTGAGAAACCTGTATGCAGGTCAGGAAGCAACAGTTAGAACTGGACATGGAGCAACACATTGGTTCCAAATTGGGAAAGGAGTATGTCAAGGCTGTATATTGTCACCCTGCTTATTTAACTTATATACAAAGTGCATCATGAGGAACACTGGGCTGGATGAAGCACAAGCTGGAATCAAGATTGCCGGGAGAAATATCAATAACCTCAGATATGCAGATGACACCACCCTTATGGCAGAAAGTGAAGAGGAACTAAAAAGCCTATTGAAAGTGAAAGAGGAGAGTGAAAAAGTTGGCTTAAAGCTCAACATTCAGAAAACTAAGATCATGGCATCTGGTCCTGTCACCTCATGGGAAATAGATGGGGAGTGGAAACAGTGTCAGACTTTATTTTTTTGGGCTCCAAAATCACTGCAGATGGTGACTGCAGCCATGAAATTAAAAGACGCTTACTCCTTGGAAGGAAAGTTACGACCAACCTAGATAGCATATTAAAAAGCAGAGACATGACTTTGCCAACAAAGTCCGTCTAGTCAAGGCTATGGTTTTTCCAGTGGTCATGTATGGATGTGAGAGTTGGACTGTGAAGAAAGCTGAGTGCTGAAAAATTGATGCTTTTGAACTGTGGTTTTGGAGAAGACTCTTGAGAGTCCCTTGGACTGCAAGGAGATCCAGCCAGTCCATCCTGAAGGAGATTAGTCCTGGGTGTTCATTAGAAGGACTGAGGCTGAAGCTGAAACTCCAATATTTGGCCACCTCATGCGAAGAGTTGACTCATTGGAAAAGACCCTGATGCTGGGAGGGATTGGGGGCAGGAGGAGAAGGGGGCAATAGAGGATGAGATGGCTGGATGGCATCACTGACTCGATGGGCATGAGTTTGAGTAAACTCCAGGAGTTTGTGATGGACAGGGAGGCCTGGCATGCTGCGATTCATGGAGTTGAAAAGAGTCAGACACGACAGAGTGACTGAACTGAACTGACTGTTAATGCTGAATTCCTTCCTTACCTGTCCCTATTTTTTTTTTTTCAGGTTTCAGAGGGTTTTTCTTGATTCTCTGAAATTCTTTCTTTTAAGAAATGAGTTGGTTGGTTAATGGAATTTGTGTAAGTTGAGTGCTTATTTTTTAGATGTGGTTTTCTAATTTTGTGCCTTTGTTCTTTTTATGCTAGTTTAACTGATGAAGAATCCCGGAAAAACTGGGAAGAGTTTGGAAATCCAGATGGGCCTCAAGGTGTGGTAAATGACGATTTAAAAAATACTGGGGTTAAGGTATTGCGTGTATTATGAAAATGTTAGATTTAAAAGAACGTTTTGATTTTCTTAGTTTGTGAATAGAAAAATTATAACCGCACAGAGTTAAATGGATACGTAAATTGAGTTTCCTTTACTTAATTTTTCTAGAGATTAGTTGTAAAGATAGATCTTTGATTTGATGAGAAGAGTAGCCACTGTCGTTATTCATCATTTACAGTTAGCAGTTGATAAAAATAGGATGAAATATCTGTTTTTCTTTACTGACTAAACATTTTACCATATATTCATAGTGTTTACATACACTCAGGACATGTAAATGGATTTAAGTGTTCTGAGAAGAAGGAATTCATGTACTTAGATTTTTTTTTTCTTCTGGAAAAATTTGCAGTTTCAGATATAAACCATTTCACATCAACTTTTGTGTATGAGACACACATAATAAGATAATCTTAAAGCTTTCTGGAGGTGACAGAGGAGGTAGAATTTAGGGATATAAATAAATGAAACTGAAGTGCAGACTCCTCAAAAGTACTCTTCCTGTTTTAGCCACAAGCTTTGGAATTGCCCTCCCAGCTTGGATCGTTGACCAGAAAAATTCAATATTGGTGAGTACACTTAATAAGACACATGTTAATGTGTTGGATATATCTTGGTAATATAAAGAAAGCATTACGAAGAAAATCCCAGTATACTGTTTCTAATTTAACTGTGTATGATAGAAACTTTACTTAATGGAGAAAAGAATTGGTTTTTATCATTACATTCGGGAATTTGGGGAAATGTACTCTAGTGTAGTTTTAGAACCTTCAAATTGTGGTGATTTCTTTTGGATGTAGTTTCAGATTGGGTCTTACCGTTGGTTTAGGGAACTACTTTTCTTATGGTGTAGACATTTATCACTAAGTAGTACTCAAAATTTAAATTACCCTGTATCCCACATTTATCCAAGCTAAATTATTAATGTGTCCTAACATAATGGTATATATTCTATATGGTACTTTAAGGGGCAGCAGGATGATCAGACTTCAACCAGCGACGAGAGGCTGCAACTCTTAAAACGTCAGAAATTATCTTAACCTGTTGTTTAGGAATTCCCTACTTCTCTTTTCTTGAAAATAATTATCTAGGAGCTATCTTTGAAGCAATAAAACCCAGTCTGTCATTTGTAACATTTGTTCCAATCCTTACAGTCTGTCATTTGTTTTGAAAATGGCTGTTTAGTGTCATTTTATGGCTATTTATTTACATGTTTTCTTCCAGGGTATATAGATGCTGTATATAAGCATGTTGAGGGAATACTATAGAAGAGAAAGTTTGTTAGCTATCAGATTGAGGATTGAGTAGTAGGACAAAAATCAGACCAATAGAAATTACTTGGAAACAATTATATGTTCTGTTTGATATTGAGGCAAAGAAGCCAGGTTTTATCATTTATTTTCAAGGCACTAACTACTTGCAAAGATGTGGATGACCCTTGAACAACAGGGGCTTGAACTGTGTAGGTCCACTTATATATGATTTTTTTTCCCAATAAATACAGACTAGAGTATTCCACAATCCATGGTTGAATCCATGGATGCAGAGCCACAATATGGAAGGCCAGCTCTAAAGTTATATGTGGATTTTCCACTGCAAGGAGGTTGGTCCCCCAGCCCCAACATTGCTCAAGGTCAACTGAGGTTGACTCTCTCTATCAGCATGTTTCACATCCCTGGGTACTCTGTTACCACCAATTTATATAAAGGACTTGAGCATCCCTGAATTTTGGTATCCTTGGGGGTTTTGAAACCAGTTCCCCTCAGATAGAGGGATGACTATATATGCTGCAGATTCCCTATCTGCAAAAAGAAAATAATAGTGGTACCTTCCTCACAGAGTTTGAAAGTAAGGATTCAATGAAATACATAAGATGTGCTTTTAATAGTGCCTCCTCCATGTAAGCCTCAAAATAAGTGTTCATGGATGTTGTAATTTACCTCATGAAGGAATGATCTTTTTTTCCCTCCTTTTCAATTCAAGGTTTTACTTGTATATGGCTTGGCATTCATGGTTATCCTTCCAGTTGTTGTGGTAAGTTCCAGCTCTTTTTATTAACATTTTTTAGGGAAGAGAATGGGTGGCATGGTTTGGGGTCTCCTTATAAGATCATAATTTGTGTTAGAATATAATCCGTAATCCATTAATCCTTGAGTTTTAAGAATTTTATATTCAACTATACTTTAAGGTCTTCTAAAGGTGACATCACTTTAGTATGTTAAAATGTGTCTCCTCATGATTCAAAAGTTACACACAAATGAGATAATACAGATATATTTAGAATTTAAAATGAAAGTCTTCTGTTACCACCTCCCCAACTCCATTTCTCTGTTGGAGATAATCACTGCTAAGTTTGTTGATTACCTTTTCAGATCTTTTTCTATGCATTAAATGTATATACACATTTTAAAAAATGTGGTCTTACTGTATATGTCCTGTGATTTTTTTTTTGCTTCATGCAGGAGTACATGTAGAACAACCTCATTTTAAAAAACAGTTGCATCAGTTCAGTCAGTTCAGTCATTCAGTCGTGTCTGACTCTTTGCAACCTCAAATATAGAGATACCATAATGTTTATGATTTTATTGTTTATTACCTTCATGACTGGTGGTGTTCTTACTGATCTTAGGGTTCCTATTAGTCCTGTAGTGAGGCTAACAATTAACCTGTCTTGCTTTCTTCATAGGATTGTTGTGTTAGAATCCAATTGTATGGAATAATGTGAGTGAAAGTAGTATATCAACTATAAAATTGCTCTTACGCTTATTTGTCAAACATTTGTTGAAGACATGCCATGTGTCAGAAACCAACTTGTTGCTTACAGCAATGGGTTGTTTCATTCCTGTTTCGTCTGTAAACAATTTCTAGTTGAAACTTAAATCTTTTAATCATATATATGTAATGAGATAGGCTGGTATTTAGGCATCATGCAGCATAAATACTTGCCATATAAATCATTTGAAATATATAGTAAAGGTATTTGTTCTAAAGAGCAAATTTTTATTGGTTTATGAACATTTAGAAAATTTGACCATAAACATTCTGCATCAAAATTAACATTAATTGTGGTTTTCATGCTTTTTTTCTTGTTTAATTTTGTGTCTTAGGGCTCTTGGTGGTATCGCTCAATACGCTATAGTGGAGACCAAATTCTAATACGCACAACACAGATTTATACCTACTTTGTTTATAAAACTCGAAATATGGATATGAAACGTAAGTAAATTTAAGTAACTGTGCTAGTAAATTATTTTCTGAGTCATTTATGTGGAATTGGTATATATATTCAGTTGGAGAAATTCCATTTTATAGTTTTAGGGATATTCAGTTCATTATAGCTAAAGCTGGAGGAAGATGCTAATACCCTTTGTCATATTTCTTGATCTGTAGTTCTGTTATTCTCATTCACTCAGCTATATGTATATGTATATATTTTCCCTTCAGAGATTTTATGGTAGAGCTCCGTGTGGACTAATTTTGTAATAATCCCAGCTAACATTTCTTGAGTATTTATTGTTGCCAAGCATTGTGAGGCACTATCATGTATTAACTCATTTAATCTTTGTATGCTGCCGTAAATATGTGCTGTTTTTAAGCACATTTTATAGATGAAGAAACTGAGCTCAAGGATACACAGTAAGTGACAGCTAGGATAGAACTCAGGCAGTGTGGTTCCCAAGCCAGTACATTATACCATGCTAATGGTGTAAAATAAGTCGAGGTCTTAGGAGTGTTTAAAGAAATTTGCCAAAATATTTCATTCCCAGAGGCTTATTTCAGAATTTATTATGACATAAAAAGTAACATCCTGAATACTTTCTTTGATTCCATAAAGCTAGCATTGTAAATTTTATCCCTGGAATACTTTATATTACTTTTCAGAATCACTGCTCTGTTGAAGTCTTACACATTAAAAAAAAAGGACATACGTTTAAAATTGTGCTTCATGCGTGGATGCATTTTTTTCCCAATACCTCAGTAGACTTTGTCATATTTTTTGTGTTTGCCAATTTTATTAACTTTCTTGGTAATGAGAAAGAGATTTATCTTAATCCCAGGATTATATGACTGTGTGAGCTGATTTTATATTTCTGAAGAATGAGCAGGTCTTTTATTTCTGAGGAATGAGTGAATGTTACCCTCCCTTGTGCACATGTACACTGTTCTTTGTGCTGGATTGAAATATTAATTTATAAACATTCTCCCTTTTGAAAATATTTCATGTTTGTAACCAGTTTTAATATGTTTTTTGGATCAGTGATCTTGAGTTCTGTTTCATTTCTGAGGGTGGTACTTAGCCTTACACAATTCTTTCAGAAAAGCTTTGTTTAGCTTTATTTAATTTTGTTTGGTTAGTTATCGTTGGTTTTAGGACTGGCACCGTTTATATGCTGTCTTAGGAACTGTTGTTTTCATTCAAACATTTGAGGGTAGTAATAGTAATAGCTCACACACATTACTATGCTTATGTGTATCAGGCACATATGAAGAAATTGAGGCCCATAGAGAAGTGAAGAATATTGTCTTAGGTCATTCAGCTAGGGCTTGAAAGCTTTGGGGTTTATGCACTTAACTCGTATACTGTCCTGCTTTTTGTGAGAACATTGCATGCATTTTCTGCCATAAGGTGAAGATTGATAACTCTAGTGCCAGTCATTAAAGAGCTTGTATAGACTAAGAAAAGTAACACTAATATATGTGACCTCAAATCATGTGTATTTCAAGGAACACTGTTCCCACAAAGCCCTCCATGATTCCATAATAAAAATTTTTATAAATTACAGTATATTTTAGATGACTCATGGCATTGAGGAGTCATGAAGTGAAGAAACCTGAAACCCTTTTTAACCCCCTTTTTTCACAAAGCAGTTAGTAATGTCACATAGAATACTTGCTGTTGCTGTGTAGCTCAGGGAACCCTACTCACTGTTCTGTGGTGACCTCAATGGGAAGGAAGTCCAAAGCAGAGGGAATATATGTGTATGTATAGCTAATTCACATTGCTAAACAATATAAACTAACACAGCATTGTAAAGCAGCTGTCCTCCAATAAAAATTGATTCTTTTTAAAAAAGAAATTTTATGTGGAACACATGATTACATCTAGAAACCAATGCTATTTGTAGTGGTTTTAATGCACCTAGTTGCTTCTGGGCCCTTAATTTGACATGTATTTCAATTTACTTGTGATAGGTAATATTACAAACACTTTTTAAAAATGAGATGTTTCTTTTGTTGCGAGAGAAATTTTTACCTGTTAATATGGATTTTAGCATTGTGTGTGACTAGAAAACTGCCTCCCTCTAGTATTAATCTGGTATCATTTGGGGTGGGTGATTAAGGGTTAGTAAATTTATTTTTCTTCATATTTCTTTTGTTTTTTTTAGGTCTTATCATGGTTTTGGCTGGAGCCTCTGAATTTGATCCTCAGTATAATAAAGATGCCACAAGCAGACCAACAGATAATATTTTAATACCTCAGGTTAGGCCCGTCTCCCAAATTCTTTGATAAACATTTAAATATTAAAGTTTATGCTTTATTAAGTGAACATATTTTAAAATAATTATTTTATTTTCCCTAGCTCATCAGAGAAATTGGCAGCATTAATTTAAAGAAGAATGAGCCTCCACTTACCTGCCCTTACAGCCTGAAGGCCAGAGTTCTTTTACTGTCTCATCTTGCTAGAATGAAAATTCCTGAGACCCTTGAAGAAGGTATTTTGATTCTACTGTCTGTAGGGTTTTAGTGGTACAAAAGCATTAGATTTAATTAGGCCTCATGGTACAGTGTTTTTGTCACTGTTCTTTTTTGCTCAATCAGATAATTACTCAAGGACCTTTTAAAAACAAATCTATATGCTACATACATAATTACTTTCACAAATACTTTGAAGGTCTTAGTAAGTCAAATGATTTGGCAAATGTTAAAATGTTGTATTTCAAGGTAAGAGAATATGCTATGAAAAATGTCTAGTTAATTTCAGATTATTCAATAATTCGTGATGACTTTTTTTAAAAAAAAGAATTTTGAAGCTTTTTGCGGGGAGAAAAAATGGATTTCACAACAGATATCTCAGTCAGCACCACCAGTACCACCACCATACTCCACTGCTGCTGCTGCTAAGTCGCTTCAGTCGTGTCCGACTCTGTGCGACCCCATAGACGGCAGCCCACCAGCGCTCCCGTCCCTGGGATTCTCCAGGCAAGAACACTGGAGTGGGTTGCCATTTCCTTCTCCAGTGCGTGAAAGTGAAAAGGGAAAGTGAAGTCGCTCAGTCGTGTCCTATTTTTAGCAACCCCATGGACTGCACCCTACCAGGCTCCATGGGATTTTCCAGGCAAGAGTACTGGAGTGGGTTGCCATTGCCTTCTCCCCGTATTCCAGCAGCAATTACCAGTAAAATGTCTGTTTAATCTTTACTTAAAGCTTCATCAGTACTTGAAGCCATCTCTTCTACTTTAAAAAAAAAAAGCAATAAATTAGGACTGTGATGTCTCTAGGAATGTTGTGAATTTGAGTGTCATCTTTTTTCACTTGCATTATTTCAATAGCAAGTTTTAAAAGAGTTATTATCCTTAGGGAATAAATTTTCTTTCTGAATGAACCAACCCACCCTCTCCCCCTGCTTTAAGCCAATAATGCAATCAAATGCCTTTGAAAACAAGGTCAGTTGATGCTCAGTGATTAATGATAGTACCATAGGCTATGTATGATGGAATTAAGGTACACTATTTAGGCATTGTTTATTGAAGTTGCAAAGTAGCTGGTAATTCTGTTCCTAATATTCTATATAGATATGAAGCCATCTCCATTTTTACCAATTATATAAGGAACAGGAAACAAATTTATTTTAGATTATCAGCTCCACTGAATGATCTCAGTGGTTAACTATTATTGCAGTATAAGTGAAAGAATCTCTCTCCCCTCCTCCTATCCTCTCTCTCCATTTAGTTGACATTCATTCTTAGTCTTAGTCTTTGGACTTATCCAAAATTATAGAAACTTAGATGCACAAGAAAAAAAATTTCAAAGTTCTTCAGTTAGTGAGGTTATGATTAAGTTTAAGACTGTTATCAGAAAAAAAGGTAGGGAGTAATTTATAAAGCCAAAAACCATAATATTAAAAGTTTGCCTTTAAAACATCTAATCTAAGGATTTTCTGACTGACTTTTTGACTTGGTGCTGCCGAGGAGAAACAGTTGTGTTCAGCCTGTAAAATTCTGAGGTCATAAAAATTTGTTCGACAACTTAAATTTAGCTTTGGTCTTGGACTACAAGTAATAAAAATGTTTTAGTATAAAAGAAGAATGATTTGTTTCAGGTGTTTTATTGTTTTGCAGATCAGCAATTTATGCTGAAAAAATGCCCTGCCCTACTTCAAGAAATGGTTAATGTAATCTGCCAACTAATAATAATGGCCAGGAGCCGTGAAGGTGAGGAGGAAGCATAATTATGTTGTACTTTTTCTTGAAAGCATATAGTACAGGTTATAATTTTAAGATTTGTGGGAACCTAATATATTTCTGTCTGTAAGTTGAATCAGCTTTCCCAGTTCTGCTTATGGTTTTTCTTATTTTTCCTGTATTTTCTATCATGTAAAGTACCACAACTTATGTTTTTTAATTCAGTTTTTTCATTGTTTTATTGTTGTTTTTTTAATTGTTTGCAAAGATTTAAAATACCCTTTTCTTCCTCTGAATATTTTTAGAATTAGGTTAGCAATGAGTTTGAAATAATTCTTTTAAGTGCTGTAATGATGATTCGTCTGACATGTAGTGTTTTTTGCATGAAGGGAAGAAAACAAGGGAGTTTATGGTCTGTAATGGAAAGAGACCCTTAAGAAAGGAGGTAGTGGTTGTGTTTTGTTGTTATGAATGATGTCATTTTGTGGCATGACATCAGTATGTTCTTAATACCAAAAATGTCTTATGATTTACTGGTTTTGGAAGTGGTGCAAAGAATTTTTCTATTAAAATCAATGGTTGTTGCTGGTTAATGTACATTTGACCAAGCTTGTATATTTTCTGTGTCTTATCCAGTAACTTCTAAAGGAAAGTCAACACTGTGATCATAAAATTTGAGGTGTTAAGGGTGTTCACATGGATTTGTGTTTGTTATGAATTTTGTACTCTGAACATATAAATAGTCCAGCCCTGTTTTTGCTTTTCCTCCTGTTCTTTCTAAGAAAGGGAGTTTCGTGCTCCAACTTTGGCATCCCTTGAAAACTGCATGAAGCTTTCCCAGATGGCTGTTCAAGGCCTTCAGCAGTTTAAATCTCCCCTTCTCCAGCTCCCTCACATTGAAGAAGACAATCTTAGAAGAGTTTCTAATCATAAAAAGGTAATTTGCCACTTGAAAATTAGTTTTAAGCAGTCTGTCATGTCACTTAAAGGTAACATGAATGAAAATTTTTCTTGAAGTGGTTACTATGAACATCTTAGATTTACAGTGTTTCAAGCATTCTAAAACTATCCCTCAAGTGATTCTGTTAACACTTTCTTGAATAGGTAGAGCTATTTTGTAACATTTTATTCATACTACTGAAATGATTTTACTACTTTGGGGGGGTGTCAAATTTTTAGCAGTTAACACTTTATTTTTATGGTGCCAAAATAAATGTACTATGTAAAAATACACTGTATACTTTTCATTTATTTCATTAATGGCTTAAAGCTTGAGCAGTAGTTTGATTATGAACAAAAAATTAAGCATTCATTATACAAGTAGATCATATAAAGATAATTCTTATTTAGGAATTATAGCATATAGATTATGAGAATGAATTGTGTGTGTGTGTGTGTTAGTCACTCAGTTGTGTCCGTCTCTCTGTGACCCCATGGACCACAAGCCCACCAGGCCTCTCTGTCCGTGGAATTCTCAAGACAAGAATACTGGAGTGGGTTGCCATTTCCTTCTCCAATGTGAATTTTAGTAGTAGTAGTGTAGTCGCTAAGTCGCGTCCAACTCTTGCGACCCCACAGAGTGAATCTTAAAAGACACAGCAGAAAATGTGTATAAATGAAAAACGAGGAAATACAGGAAAAAATGGAATGAAATTATAATTTTAAACATCAGTTTGTATATATTAGACAAAGAGGACAGAAGATAGATATTGGACTTGATAGTAGTAAGGTAGAACTAATAAATGTATATTAGAAATTTATATCAGAACACTCTTCTCTCAAGTAAGTGAGTTGCTCTTTTAAATTTGATCACAGTTAAAGTCATAATTGAAAACTTCAGAATTCAAAAGCAGGCATTTCACATGCCTCATGATCTAATTCCTATCTGTGAAAGTAAAAATTAATAACTGGCACCAAATACTCAGAAATTAAAAAACCTTCCCCTTGGTATTCATTTAGCCAGGATTGGTATTACTGCAGTAATAGATAGCTATATTTAGAAAATAACAAGAATGAGAATATTGCATAAGTTCAGTTAAGTCGCTCTGTCCTGTCCGACTCTTTGTGACCCCATGGACTGCAGCACGCCAGGCTTCCTGTCCATCACCAGGTCCTGGAGCTTGCTCAAACTCATGTCCATCGAGTTGGTGATGCCATCCAACCGTCTCATCCCCTGTCGTCGCCTTCTCTTGCCTTCAGTCTTTCCCAGCGTCAGGGTCTTTTCCAATGAGTCAGTTCTTCGCATCAGGTGGCCAAAGTATTGGAGCTTCAGCTTCAGCATCAGTCCTTCCAGTGAATAGTCAGGACTGATTTCCTTTAGGATTGATTGATTTGATCTCCTTGCTCTCCAAGGGACTCTCAAGAGTCTTTTCTGATACCACAGTTCAAAAGCATCAATTCTTTGGCACTCCATTCTTTATGGTCCAACTTTCATATCCATACATGACTATTGGACAAACGACAGCTTTAACTAGATGACCTTTGTTGGTAAAGTAATGTCTCTGCTTTTTAATAGGCTGTCTAGTTTGGTCATAGCTTTTCTTCCAAGGAGCAAGTGTCTTTTAATTTCTTCTGAAAAAAACAAAAGAATATTGTAAAGTAAAACCTAAAGAGTACAATCAGCTATATACTTGGAAATAAATTTGTATTCTTAAAAAAAAAATTTTTATCTTTAAAATTAAAAACAGAGGTCTGCAAACTGAACAAATTAAATGACAATAGTTCCTGCTTGGGTCAAGAGTCTATAGGAATGTTACTGTTTTTTTCCTTCAACTTTAATTTTTTCTAATTTAAAAAATAACTGCTTATTAACTTTGTAATAAAAAATTCTTAAATTTAAATTTCCTTGGAGAAAGGGCTGTGAAATGCAGTAAAGTTGAATTTTCTGCTTTTAAATGTATATAATTTTAACATTTTTCTAAAAGCTTTTGGATTTTGTTCAGTAAACATACTAATAATTTTCTTTTTATGAAAAGTTTCATGGCTTTGGGATTTATTTTCTGTCTTCTTTTAAATTTAGTTCAAAATTAAAACTATCCAGGATTTGGTGAGTTTAAAAGAATCAGATCGCCACAATCTGTTGCATTTCCTTGAAGATGAAAAATATGAGGAGGTTATGGCTGTTCTTGGGAGTTTCCCGTATGTGACTATGGACATAAAGTCACAGGGTAAGTGAGAGGTTTCCTGTTGTTTCCCTGTTGATGGACTGGTTCTTGTTTATTTGGCTCAAGGTTCTCAAAACATTTCACTTCATAACTTTTAATTAGACTTTGTAGAATTGTAGTTTACCTGTCAGATTTGCTATGATGGAAGATATTGAAGTTAGTAGTTTTGGTTTGAGAACGCTTTTGTTCTATAGTTCAACTTTAAGGAACATCTTAACTTTTCAAATGGAAGAGATTTCCAAATGTAATGGAAGATATTTGAAATATTTCTATTGTTAGTATAAAATAGCTGCTTAGTTCTAAAATTAATTTTTAAAAAAACCTAACTTATTTATATGTATTAAGCCTGGAAAACACCACACTCTGTGCCACATTTCATGTGTTTTTCTTGACTTAACTTTTGTCTTTATGTCTGCTTGGAGTGGAAAAAGAGATAGAGATTATTTTTCTACTTACATAATTGTCCTAGAATTCCCATTTTACAACTGAACATAATATTTCAGAATGGTGACAGATTCAGAGATTATTCTGCTCCATTCCTTCATTGTGACATTATTCTGAGCTTTGGCATTTACTAAGTTGCTGCTGTTAGAATATTCTTGTGGGACCAAGAATACAAGGATATGTTAGGAATTGTTCCTGTTTTTAAAGGGCTTGTAGTTAAGTTCATTTTATTATTAAGACTTTTGGGGATGTATGTAGCAAATGTGTTTGAAAAAAAACAAACAATGCAAAAACATTGCAGAAAACATCTTTAAGGTGCTTTTTCATTTAAACAATATTTTGAAGTTCTTGCCTTAAAAATTAAGTATCTTTAACATTGCCTAGAATACTAGTTTGCAGGCATTTGATTATACAGGTAAAATCTTGTGAGTATAAAGTTTGTACAATTTAGTAGAGTGACAGAACCCTCTTTTATGTCAGTATGAGAGAAAGCTTTGGTAACCCTCACAATATACTGTATTTTAAAGGATCTGGACTTGAAACTTGGCGGTGCCAGCATAGTTCTTTTGTGGCCTTGGGCATTTTACTTTATTCCTTCACCTCAGTCTCTTTAAAGAAATAATAATGCTTCATAGAGCTAATTTAAGGATTAAATGAGTACTTTGTTGAAGATATCTTATGGAGAAATTTATCTAGAGTAGATAGTAAATTATTTTTTATTTAGTAGCCTTAAAATTCTGTATGTTTGAAGTAAAGTCTCAGATTGATTTGGATAAGTTGTTTTGCTGTTTGCTTTGACATAGAGATTGGTTTTTATTTATTTTTTCTTATATCTTACAGTATTGGATGATGAAGATAGCAACAACATCACAGTAGGATCCTTAGTTACAGTTTTGGTTAAATTGACAAGGCAAACAATGGCAGTAAGTAGTCTGTATTTTTTTGCTTTGAGAGTTTATATGTTAAGATATTTATGTTTATTTTCTCATTTTAAGTTATATATTTTGAAAGTCAAAACTATAGTTTTGCAAATCTAATTTTGCAGATTCTATTAGCCATTTTGAAATTTTGATTTTAGATTTTCTCATTTGTTTTCACACACACAAAGTTGAAAGATAGATGAATTCTTCGGGTGATGATTTGTTAATTCCCTATAAAGCATTATAATGTAATCTGGGTATCTTTCTTAAACTATAAAATATTGTACAGAGATTGATTATTGATTATTGTTGAGAATTTCGTTACCTACCTGCTCCTTTTTAGTCAGTTCTTGAGAGAATTTACTCCCTTTTATTTTTTATTTTAAAAAGTACAATAAAATAGCTCTTTTCCTAATTATGTAAAAAATTTATGCTGCCTGGGAAACAAATTTAGGCAATGCAGAAAACTATGGGAAGAAATTAAAAGCACCTAAAATTCTGTCACTCTGAGATCATCAGTTTTGAAGCTCATCCTTTGAGATAGCCTGATGCATGGAATACCCACAGAATTAAAATGATATTGATAACATGGATCCCTTATTTCACCCCTGCTTCCTTAGGAAGCCACCTTGTCAGACCCAGATGACCAGAACTCAGTCTTGTGTAAATCCTTTTGTATCTTTCTCCATGCTCATGTTTACTATCTGGACCTTTTCAGTCCATATATGTACATGCATACATATGTATGCTGGTACTGTTCTCATTCTTTTTCATTAAATCTAGTCATATGTATGTTTCCTGCATCTTGTTTTTCTCAGTTTTTGTTACATATTTGTATTACTTCCCAAGCTAAGTGCACCTCCCAAGTTGCAAGTATAGTTGTAACTAATTTTTACTAAACTATAGTATTTCAGCTCAGTTTTATTGAACCAATGGTAGATTTTAGCCTCTTCTACTCTGAGGTCTATGGGCATCTGCAGGAAATATGCTGCATTTAAAACCCATGTCTATCTTTCTGGCTTACTTCACTCTGTATACTGGGCTCCAGTTTCATCCATCTCATTAGAACTGATTCAAATGAATTCTTTTTAATGGCTGGGTAATATTCCATGGTGTATATGTACCACAGCTTCCTTATCGAAAAAGACCAATACAGTATACTAACACATATATATGGAATTTAGAAAGATGGTAATGATAACCCTATATGCAAAACAGAAAAAGAGGCACAGATGTACAGAACAGACTTTTGGACTCTGTGGGAGAAGGCAAGGGTGGGATGTTTCAAGAGAACAGCATTGAAACATGTATATTATCAAGGGTGAAACAAATCACCAGCCCAGGTTGGATGCATGAGACAAGTCCTCAGGGCTGGTGCACTGGGAAGACCCAGAGGGATCGGGTGGAGAGGGAGGTGGGAGGGGAGATCGGGATGGGGAATACATGTAAATCCATGGCTGATTCATGTCAGTGTATGACAAAACCCACTACAATATTGTAAAGTAATTAGCCTCCAACTAATAAAAATAAATGGAAAAAATATAGGCACTTAAAAAAAAAAAAAAAACCCATGTCTAAAACCTCTGGTAGAAAAAGCATATTTTGTAGTTGTTGTTGTTGTATTAGTTGCTCAATTGTGTTGGACTCTTTGGGACCCCATGGACTATAGCCTGCCAGGCTCCTCTTTCCATGGAATTCTACTGGAGTGGATAGCCATTCTATGATTCACAGTAGGACATATCAAAATAAAGACACTGATTTTATGGTAGCAGGTGGTAAAGGAAGCATTTGTATATATCATGGACTCTGGATGAGAGGTGCCTCCTGGGAGATGAGGCTGCTCTAAGCCGGTGGCCAGGGTTAGGTTTCAAATGCAAACTACACTGCCTACGTGCTTTGGAATTCCTAGCCCGAGAAATGAGCACAAAGTTGTCCTTGGGCTGTTGACATTTCTCAGGTAATTGGTAGAAGAAAAAGCAGACGTGGCCTGGAGAAAGGGGAAGAATCATCTATTTATCTTCTAGTTTTAGTTTCAATTGTATTTCAATGTAATTATTAGAATTCAACTGACAAATGAAGAAATGAGCAGAGATGATAGAATTAGGCTAGGCGACGACAAACTTTTTCTCTAAAGGTTCAGTCAGTAAATATTAATATTTTTGGTTTTCACAGGCCATACAATCTCTGTAGCAATGGCTGAACTCACAAATGGGCATGGCTGTATTCTAATAAAAACTTTGTTTAAAAAGCAAAAAATGGGCCATAGCTTGCTGGCCCCTGCATTAGGCCAATAGTTTAGAGCCCAGTAGTTATCATCGTTTTCACTTGTTAGCTTTAATAATTCTGGGGAGTTTATGGAACAACCCACTTGTCATGTTCTATATAGAGTCACATTGAATTCTTACTGGATTTCAAACTCTAAATTTATAGTGTCTACTGATACAAAATGGATTATTGGGTGGGTGGGTATGTCTCAGACGTGTAGATTTTCTTGGTGTTCCACTTAATTATATCTAAGTTATATTAGCAATATTGCATACAATCATGAATAAACTAATATTGGTCTCATAAACTTTTGAAGTTAGAGTAATATAATGTATTCAGATTCTCATAACTTTAAAATAGTGATGTCTGATTACTATTAGAATAAAAGTAAAAATTTAAATTATGAAATGACTGACTTTATAATAATTTTATATATTTTAAGGCATTGCATTTATAAATTTAAATAGACTGTACTTTTCAAAGTATATTCAAGACAGATGTGAGATATTTCAGAAGGTAACTTCTAAGGTGTCCTTTAGTGATGGCCAAATTTGCATACATACATCATTTAGTAATTGCTAAAAGCCTCCTGTCTAGCCATTTGTTTGTCCCCACCTCCTGTAATTGTCAGCAGTTAATAAACTTACTGATAAGGCTTCCCTGATGGCTCAATGGTAAAGAACCCACCTGCCAATGCAGGAGACAGGGGTTCAATGCCAGATCCCGGAAGATCCTACATTCTATGAAGCACCTGATTCCGTGTGTCACAACTATTGAGCCTGTGTTCTAGAGCCCGGTAGCCGCAACTGCTGAGTCCACGTGGCGCAGCTGCTGAGGCCGGTACGGCCTAAAGCCTGTGCTCTGCAACACGGGAAGCCACTGCAGTGAGAAGCCTGCACATGCAACTCGAGACTAACCTCTGTTCTCCACAACCTGAGGAGAGCCCGCACAGCCAAAAGCAAACAAACTCGCTGATAATGTGTACTGAAAGATTGTTTTATGTGAAGGTTAAATATCAGTTGGACAAAGTTTCTGTTTTTCTTGCTCCCTCTGCTCTAGGAAGTATTTGAAAAGGAGCAGTCCATCTGTGCTGCAGAGGAGCAGCCAGCGGAAGATGGGGTAAAGCCTGAGTTTACCTATCTGTCTTTTCTGGTAAAAGAGCTTGATTTAGTTCTCTGATGGATTTATCTTGCTGTGGGAGAATCATTCACTTTGCTAAAACATTTTATTAGTTTAGCCATTTCCATCTAATATTTACTCTGACTCCCAAATGAAGCTATTGCTGCAACGTCTGAGTGTGTATGTGTGCTGTGATTTATAGCAGGGTGATACTAACAAGAACAAGACAAAAGGAGGATGGCAGCAGAAGAGTAAAGGACCCAAGAAGACCGCTAAATCCAAAAAAAAGAAACCTTTGAAAAAAAAGCCTACACCTGTGCCCTTATCTCAACCAAAGCAACAGAAACAAAAACAGGCTAACGGAGTCGCTGGGAGTGTAAGTTTATTATCTATGTAAAGACCATCATTATTATCATCTCTGTTGAGGTCTGAAATACACTAAAATGTTCAAATATTATATGTACAGCTCCTGAAGTTTTATAAATGTATGTACCCATGATCCCAGATCAAGATATAAAACCCACCAGCACCCTAGAAGGCTCCCTGGTCCCCTCCTCAGTCAGTGGCCCCTCCATCCACCCCCACTCCCTTCCCCACTGTGCTGTTATTACCATGAATTAATTTTGCCTGTTCTCAAAATGCATGTAAGTAGAGTCATTTGGCTGCTTTCATTCAACATTGTCTTTGACATTCTTCAGTATTATGTATAGCAGCAAGTGTGTGTGCGTGTGTGCGTGCATGTGTGTGTGAGAGAGATTCCATTTTATGAATATACTACAGTTTGTCTGTCCTGTGATTGGTAGACGTACAGGTTTTTTTAGTTTTTGCCTATTTGATACATGTCACTTTGTGGACATCTGTTTTTCTTTGATATGTGCCTATTAGTAAAATTGCTGGGTCATAAAATAGGTGTATGTCTAACTTCCTGAAAGAGCCCATTTTCTAAAGTTGTACCATATTATGCTCCTACCAGCAAAATATGGGTCCAGTTATTGTACGTTCTCACCAGTACTTGGTTTTACCAGTCTTTTTAATTTTAGCCACTGTAATGGATCTGTAGTTGGTATTTCTGTGTGTGGTCGTTTTTGTATTTACCTTATGACTAATAGTATTGAACACCTTTTCACACATGCCTACTGGCCATTTGGATATCATCATTTACTTTTGGATTATTTGTCTTCTGACAGCTTTGTAGGATTCTTTTATCTATTGTGGATAAGTGTTTCTTTTAACTCTCTTAATGGAGTTTTAGATGATTCTTATTAATAATAAAGTCTGTTTCAGAAATCTTTATGGTTAAGTGCTTTTGTGTCCTGTTTAGGACATCTCTGCCTATCCCAAGGGCACAAGGAGAGGTAGATACTTTGTTTCCTTCTATAAGTATTACTGCAGTATTTTACTTGTTATATTTAGCTCTGTGATGCATCTTTCATTTTTGTGAATAGTGTGAGATTGGGATTATGGGCCATTTATTTTAGCACCATTTATTGGAAAGCTGTCTGAATTGCGGTCGTAATTTGTTGTAAAATGAGTTACCTTAACTGTATATGTGGAAATCTCTTTATGGGCTCTCCTCCCATTGATTATTTGTCTCTTGTGCCAGTGCCACATTGTCTTAATTATTGTGGCTTGAAGTTTTAAAATGGAATAATGTAAATCCTCAAACTCTTTTTTTTTTCTTTTTTAGTCCTCAAGCTCTTATTTTACTTCTTCAAAATTGTCTTGACTATTTTATGTCCCTTGCATTTTCAGCTAAAATTTTAGAATAATTTTGACAATTTCCACCCCCAAAAAAGCTGCTGGCACTTAGATTGGTATTGTGTTTAATCTTTGGTGCATTATGGGGAGAATTCACAGGTTAACAATATTGACTGTTTTTATTCATAATTATGCTTTATCTTTATTATCTCCCTTCATTTTTCTCGGCAGTGTTTTATGATTTCTCTTGGCAGAGAATGACACATCTCTGATTAGATTTACTCCTGTGTATTTGATGCTTTCTAGTGCTATTGCAAACAACATTAAAAAAAGCTCACTCTTCAGTGTTTATTGCTGGTGTATAGAAATACAGTTGCCTTCTAAATATTTACCCTGTATCAAGGATTCTTGATGAATTGACAATAATTGTAACAATTTGCAGGTATTAAAAAAAGATATTTTACATACACAGTCATGCCATCTGGGTATGAAAACAGCTTTTCTTTAATCTTTATGCTGTTTCATCCTTTTTGCCTTACTGGTGCCAGCCAGAACTTGGAGTAGTTGATTTGAAGTGAAGATGGCAGTCACCTTGTCTTGTTGGTCTTATGGAAAAAGCATACATTATTTCACCATTGAGTATGATGTTAGCTATAGAGTTTTTGTAGATATAATTTATCTATAATATTATCAGGTTAAGGAGGTTTTCCCTTTTTATTAGGAGCATGTGCTGAATTTTATTAAATACTTTCTCTCCATATATTGAGATGATTGTGTGATTTTTCTCCTTTCTGTTTATGTGGTGAATTATACTGATGAATTAAAAAATTAATTATCATTGTATTCTGTGAACAAATCTCATTTGTTATAACATAGTATTTTTAAACTATTTACCTGGGTTTGATGATACTTTGTTTAGGATTCCTGTAACTATTTTTAGGAGAGAATATCAGTTTATCATTCTTGTAATATTTTTGCCAGGTTTTTTTTTTTTTTTTTAATCACAACCATAGTGTATCTTTTTTTTTTTACATGTATTCCCCATCCCGGTCCCCCCTCCCACCTCCCTCTCCACCCAATCCCTCTGGGTCTTCCCAGTGCACCAGGCCCGAGCACTTGTCTCATGCACCCAACCTGGGCTGGTGAACTGTTTCACCCTAGATAATATACGTGTTTCAATGCTGTTCTCTTGAAACATCCCACCCTCGCCTTCTCCCAGAGTCCACAAGTCTGTTCTATACATAGGAGTCTCTTTTTCTGTTTTGCACATAGGGTTATCGTTACCATCTTTCTAAATTCCATATATATGTGTTAGTATACTGTAATGGTCTTTATCTTTCTGGCTTACTTCGCTCTGTATAATGGGCTCCAGTTTCATCCATCTCATTAGAACTGATTCAAATGAATTCTTTTTAATGGCTGAGTAATATTCCATGGTGTATATGTACCACAGCTTCCTCATCCATTCGTCTGCTGATGGGCATCTAGGTTGCTTCCATGTCCTGGCTATTATAAACAGTGCTGCGATGAACATTGGGGTACACGTGTCTCTTTCGGATCTGGTTTCCTCGGTGTGTATGCCCAGAAGTGGGATTGCTGGGTCATATGGCAGTTCTATTTCCAGCTTTTTAAGAAATCTCCACACTGTTTTCCATATTGGCTGTACTAATTTGCATTCCCACCAACAGTGTAAGAGGGTTCCCTTTTCTCCACACCCTCTCCAGCATTTATTGCTTGTAGACTTTTGGATAGCAGCCATCCTGACTGGTGTGTAATGGTACCTCATCGTGGTTTTGATTTGCATTTCTCTGATAATGAGTGATGTTGAGCATCTTTTCATGTGTTTGTTAGCCATCTGTATGTCTTCCTTGGAGAAATGTCTGTTCAGTTCTTTGGCCCATTTTTTGATTGGGTCATTTATTTTTCTGGAGTCGAGCTGGAGGAGTTGCTTGTATATTTTTGAGATTAATCCTTTGTCTGTTGCTTCGTTTGCTATTATTTTCTCCCAATCTGAGGGCTGTCTTTTCACCTTGCTTATAGTTTCCTTTGTTGTGCAAAAGCTTTTAAGTTTCATTAGGTCCCATTTGTTTATTTTTGCTTTTATTTCTAAAATTCTGGGATGTGGGTCATAGAGGATCCTGCTGTGATTTATGTCGGAGAGTGTTTTGCCTATGTTCTCCTCTAGGAGTTTTATAGTTTCTGGTCTTACATTTAGATCTTTAATCCATCTTGAGTTTATTTTTGTGTATGGTGTTAGAAAGTGTTCTAGTTTCATTCTTTTACAGGTGGCTGACCAGTTTTCCCAGCACCACTTGTTAAAGAGGTTGTCTTTTTTCCATTGTATATCCTTGCCTCCTTTGTCAAAGATAAGGTGACCATAGGTTCGTGGATTTATCTCTGGGCTTTCTATTCTGTTCCATTGATCTATATTTCTGTCTTTGTGCCAGTACCATACTGTCTTGATGACTGTGGCTTTGTAGTATAGTCTGAAGTCAGGCAGATTGATTCCTCCAGTTCCATTCTTCTTTCTCAGGATTACTTTGGCTATTCGAGGTTTTTTTGTATTTCCATACAAATTGTGAAATTATTTGTTCTAGTTCTGTGAAAAATACCGTTGGTAGTTTGATAGGGATTGCATTGAATCTGTAGATTGTTTTGGGTAGTATAGCCATTTTGACAATATTGATTCTTCCAATCCATGAACACGGTATATTTCTCCATCTGTTTGTGTCCTCTTTGATTTCTTTCATCAGTGTTTTATAGTTTTCTGTGTATAGGTCTTTTGTTTCTTTAGGTAGATATATTCCTAAGTATTTTATTCTTTTTGTTGCAATGGTGAATGGTATTGTTTCCTTAATTTCTCTTTCTGTTTTCTCATTGTTAGTGTATAGGAATGCAAGAGATTTCTGTGTGTTAATTTTATATCCTGCAACTTTACTGTATTCGGTGATTAGCTCTAGTAATTTTCTGGTAGAGTCTTTAGGATTTTCTATGTAGAGGATCATGTCATCTGCAAACAGCGAGAGTTTCACTTCTTCTTTTCCTATCTGGATTCCTTTTACTTCTTTTTCTGCTCTGATTGCTGTGGCCAAAACTTCCAAAACTATGTTGAATAGGAGTGGTGAGAGTGGGCACCCTTGTCTTGTTCCTGATTTCAGGGGAAATGCTTTCAGTTTTTCACCATTGAGGGTGATGCTTGCTGTGGGTTTGTCATATATAGCTTTTATTATGTTGAGGTATGTTCCTTCTATTCCTGCTTTCTGGAGAGTTTTAATCATAAATGGATGTTGAATTTTATCAAAGGCTTTTTCTGCATCTATTGAGATAATCATATGGTTTTTATCTTTCAATTTGTTAATGTGGTGTATTACATTGATTGATTTGCGGATATTAAAGAATCCTTGCATTCCTGGGATAAAGCCCACTTGGTCATGATGTATGATTTTTTTAATATGTTGTTGGATTCTGTTTGCTAGAATTTTGTTAAGGATTTTTGCATCTATGTTCATCAGTGATATTGGCCTGTAGTTTTCTTTTTTTGTGGCATCTTTGTCTGGTTTTGGAATTAGGGTGATGGTGGCCTCATAGAATGAGTTTGGAAGTTTACCTTCTTCTGCAATTTTCTGGAAGACTTTGAGTAAGATAGGTGTTAGCTCTTCTCTAAATTTTTGGTAGAATTCAGCTGTGAAGCCATCTGGTCCTGGGCTTTTGTTTGCTGGAAGATTTCTGATTACAGTTTCGATTTCCTTGCTTGTGATGGGTTTGTTAAGATCTTCTATTTCTTCCTGGTTCAGTTTTGGAAAGTTATACTTCTCTAAGAACTTGTCCATTTCTTCCAAGTTGTCCATTTTATTGGCATAGAGCTGCTGGTAGTAGTCTCTTATGATCCTTTGTATTTCAGTGTTGTCTGTTGTGATCTCTCCATTTTCGTTTCTAATTTTGTTAATTTGGTTCTTCTCCCTTTGTTTCTTAATGAGTCTTGCTAATGGTTTGTCAATTTTGTTTATTTTTTCAAAAAACCAGCTTTTAGCTTTGTTAATTTTTGCTATGCTCTCTTTAGTTTCTTTTGCATTTATTTCTGCCCTTATTTTTAAGATTTCTTTCCTTCTACTAACCCTGGGGTTCTTCATTTCTTCCTCCTCTAGTTGCTTTAGGTGTAGAGTTAGGTTATTTATTTGACTTTTTTCTTGTTTCTTGATGTAGGCCTGTAATGCTATGAATCTTCCCCTTAGCACTGCCTTTACAGTGTCCCATAGGTTTTGGGTTGTTGTGTTTTCATTTTCATTCATTTCTATGCATATTTTGATTTCTTCTATGATTTGTTGGTTATTCAGAAGCGTGTTGTTTAGCCTCCATATGTTTGAATTTTTAATAATCTTTTTCCTGTAATTAAGATCTAATCTTACTGCACTGTGGTCAGAAAAGATGACTGGAATGATTTCAATCTTTTTGAATTTACCAAGACTAGATTTATGGCCCAGGATGTGATCTATTCTGGAGAAGGTTCCGTGTGCACTTGAGAAAAAGGTGAAGTTGATTGTTTTGGGGTGAAACGTCCTATAGATGTCAATTAGGTCTAGCTGGTCCATTGTGTCCTTTAAAGTTTGTGCTTCCTTGTTCATTTTCTGTTTAGTTGATCTATCCATAGTTGTGAGTGGGGTATTAAAGTCTCCTACTATTATTGTGTTACTATTAATTTCCTCTTTCATACTCGTTAGCGTTTGCCTTACATATTGCGGTGCTCCTATGTTGGGTGCATATATATTTATAATTGTTATATCTTCTTGGATTGATCCTTTGATCATTATGTAGTGTCCATCTTTGTCTCTTTTCACAGTCTTTATTTGAAAGTCTATTTTATCTGATATGAGTATTGCGACTCCTGCTTTCTTTTGGTCTCCGTTTGCGTGGAATATTTTTTTCCAGCTCTTCACTTTTAGTCTGTATGTGTCCCTTGCTTTGAGGTGGGTCTCTTGTAGACAGCATATATAGGGGTCTTGCTTTTTTATCCATTCAGCCAGCCTTTGTCTTTTGGTTGGGGCATTCAACCCATTTACATTTAAGGTAATTATTGATAGGTATGGTCCCGTTGCCATTTATTTTGTTGTTTGGGGTTCACGTCTATATCACCTTTCTGTGTTTCCTGTCTAGAGAAGATCCTTTAATATTTGTTGAAGAGCTGGTTTGGTGGTGCTGAATTCTCTCAGCTTTTGCTTGTCTGTAAAGCTTTTGAGTTCTCCTTCATATCTGAATGAGATCCTTGCTGGGTAGAGTAATCTAGGTTGTAGGTTATTCTCTTTCATTACTTTAAGTATGTCCTGCCATTCCCTTCTGGCCTGAAGGGTTTCTATTGATAGATCAGCTGTTATCCTTATGGGAATCCCTTTGTGTGTTATTTGTTGTTTCTCCCTTGCTGCTTTTAATATTTGTTCTTTGTGTTTGATCTTTGTTAATTTGATTAATATGTGTCTTGGGGTGTTTCGCCTTGGGTTTATCCTGTTTGGGACTCTCTGGGTTTCTTGGACTTGGGTGGCTATTTCCTTCCCCATTTTAGGGAAGTTTTCAGCTATTATCTCCTCGAGTATCTTCTCATGGCCTTTCTTTTTGTCTTCTTCTTCTGGGACTCCTATGATTCGAATGTTGGGGCGTTTCACATTGTCCCAGAGGTCCCTGAGGTTGTCCTCATTTCTTTTGATTCTTTTTTCTTTTTTCCTCTCTGCTTCATTTATTTCCACCATTTTATCTTCTAACTCACTTATCCTATCTTCTGTCTCTGTTATTCTACTCTTGGTTCCCTCCAGAGTGTTTTTGATCTCATTTATTTCATTATTAATTTTTAATTGACTTTTTTTTTATTTCTTCTAGGTCCTTATTAAACATTTCTTGCATCTTCTCAATCTTTATCTCCAGGCTATTTATTTGTAACTCCATTTTGTTTTCAAGATTTTGGATCATTTTTATTATCATTATTCTAAATTCTTTTTCTGGTAGATTCCCTATTTCCTCCTCTTTTGTTTGACTTGGTGGGCTTTTTTCATGTTCCTTTAGCTGTGGGGTATTTCTCTGCCTTTTCATCTTGTTTAGATTGCTGTGTCTGGAGTGGGCTTTCTGTATTCTTGTGGTCTGAGGTTCCTTTTTATTGTGGAGGTTTCACCCAGTGGGTGGGGTTGGACGATTGGTTTGTCAAGGTTTCCTGGTTAGGGAAGCTTGTGTCAGCGTTCTGGTGCGTGGAATTGGATTTCTTCTCTCTGGAGTGCAATAGAGTGTCCAGTAATGAGTTTTGCGATGGATCTATGTGTTAGGTGTGACTTTGGAGAGCCTGTATGTTGACACTCAGGTCTATGTTTCTGAGTTGCTAAAGAATTTGCGTGGTATGTCTTGTACTGGAGCTTATTGGCTCTTGGGTGGTGGTTGGTTTTGGTGTAGGTATGGAAGCTTTTGGATGGTCTCTTATTCCTTAATGTTCCGTGTAGTCAGGAGTTTTCTGGTTTTCTCAAGATTTGGGCTTAAGTCTTCTGCCTCTGGATTTCAGTTTTGTTCTTCCAATAGTCTCAAGACTTCTCCAACTATACAGCACTGATAATAAAACTTCTAGGTTAATGGTGAAAAGATTCTCCACCGTGAGAGACAACCAGAGAGGTTCACAGAGTTACATGAAGAATAGGAGAGGGAGGAAGGAGATAGAGGTGATCAGGAGGAGAAAAAGGGGACTCAAGAGGAGAGAGACAGATCTACGCAGTTATCTGTTCCCAAAGTGTTCTCCGTAGCCCAGACACCCACAAAGATTCACAGAGTTGGATTGGGAAGAGAAGGGGAAAGGAGGAAATAGAGATGTTTCGAGGTAGAAAACAGAGAGTCAAAAGTGGGAGAGTAATCACCACACTCCTGAATAGAAATGGGAACTGAATATTGGATTCTTAAATGACCAAAATTTATATCACATACTACTGAAAAATAAAGATTAAAAATCTAGTGGCGAGGTTAGTCTCTTTGAAATATAATATTTAAAAACAAAAACACACAAAAAAATTTAGAAATGTATATGAAGTTTGATTTAAAAATAGGGTTTTTCTCTCTCTCTCTTTTTTTTTTTTTTGTTTTGTTTTGCCAGGTTTTGGATTACATTTATGCTGGCCTCATTAGTTAGAGATTACTCTCTCTTTTTCCTGGAAGGGTGTGTAAGATTGGATTTGTTTCTTATTTGGAAGAATCACATAGAGAAGCCATCTGGGCTTGGAGTTTGAAAAAGAATTTAGTTATAGAGTCCATTTCTTTAACATAGTCTACTTTTTTTCTCATATCAGTTTTAGTAAATTGTGTTTTTCAAGGACTTTGTCTGTTTCCTCTGACTTGTCAAATTTATTTAAAGAGTTATTAATAATATCCTTATTTTTGGTGCCTTTTGGATCTGTAGTTATGTGTCTTTTATTCCTAATGTTGGTAATTTTGTGTCTTTTCCTTTATCAGTCTTGCCTAATTTATGAATTTTGTTAATCTTTTTAAAGAACCAACATTTAGTCTTGTTTGGGTTTCCCTTTTTTATATCTGCTTTCTCTTTAATTGATTTCTGATCTGTATTTACTTCTGATTTCTTTGCATTTAATTTGCTATTCTTTTTCTTGCTTCTTGAAATGGACTAATTATTTTGTTTGGGACATTGACTTTCCTTTTTGCATTATACTATTAGTTATTGAAGATAATATTAAACTCCCAAAGCAGTTATTCTATAAAATTCTCATTATACTGTATAAAATATTATATAATTGATGTTTTTGAAAAATGAACCAGTTTAGCCATTGTTGTAGTATATTTTGCAAATAGAAATAAAATTTTTTTTTGTTTTATCAGCTATGAAGAATGAATAAAATAACTGACAAATAAGCAGATAAGTCAAATGTTAAACCTCTTCAGCTTGACTCCCACTTATTTATATATAAGAATGTTCAAGACAGTTTTTAATAATTCTATATCAATAGTGAAACTGTAGTCTTAAGCCAGTTATAATGACTGTGGATTAGTTTCAGGGACTCAGGGTGTATTCACTGAGACATTCAGAACTTTTGTGGTTGCTTTTTCCTTCTAGGAAGCTGCAGTAAAGGAAGATGAAGAAGAAGTGTCTGACAAAGGCAGTGACTCTGAGGAAGAGGAAACCAACAGAGACTCTCAGAGTGAAAAAGATGATGGTAGCGACAGAGACTCTGATAGAGAGCAAGATGAAAAGCAAAACAAGGATGATGAAGCAGTAAGACATAGGTTTAAATAACTGGAATTATACCTCTGATGATAGTTTTGGTTTTTGTTGTTGTTTTTCTTTTGCTTACTTACATCTCTTTGCTTGTTTTAAACAACACTAGTATATTTTATACTGTTGCATTACTTTCAGACAATGTTTTTGAGAGATGGTGATTGTAATTATGAAGAAAAATCACTTCTGACAAGGACTGGAAATCCTAATTTTCTTAAATCTTACATTGTTAGATAAGAGTAAGACCTGGGTCTGAGGTGAACTCAGCTTGTTCTCCTAAGGCAGTTTTTTGTGTTGGAGATGACTCTGGAAATACGAGGAAGGAAAGGTGGGTTATGAAATAGGTAGCAGTTACTTGGAAGAGGTTCTCAAAAGTTGCAGGCAGTGTTTAGGGTAAAGAAACATTATTGCCCGCTCTCATGTCAAGAGTTTGGTTAAGGGAAAGGCTAATAGTTACAGAATGCCACCTTGTTTCAAGAGGTGTGTAAGACATCAGGAAAAGGGGAAGTCACTGAGGGATTAAGATGGTGAGGGTATAGGGAATAGGAAAAAATCTCATGGCATGGCATGAAGTTGCACATGACTTATGAGAAGGCTACAGAAAAGAATATTTGGTGAACAAATAATGGCCCATAGATGCTCACTGCAGATGAGCTGTAACTTGATCAGCCGATTTTTTTTTTTAATGTTTGTGTTGTTCTTGACTGGGCCATTGGTCTAAATATAACTCCTGTGGTTTAGGAATTTAAGAGAGATTGCCTGAATAGCCTCTGAAGCAAAAGCAGAGGCTGGGGGAAAAAAGAGGGAAAGGGCAAAGGATAAAAGTATAAGGAGATAAAGTACTTGCCTTTGGGATGGGAGAAAAATAAGGATGTCTGTTTTTAGCAGTTGCTGGCCCTTGAGTGTTTTCGTACTTTGAGAATTAAGTTGGTTGCCATGAAATTAAAACCTATCAAAGAAATCATTACCCCTCCCTTTCTTTTAGAAGGAGTTGACATATTTCTTTCTGATTATGGCTCAGTGGGTAGGAATCGTCTGCAGTGCAGGAGACACAGTAGATCCCTAGATTAGGAAGATCCCCTGCAGAACGGCATGGCAATCCACTCCAGTATTCCTGCTTGGAGAATCCCATGGACAGAGGAGCCTGGCAGGCTACAATCCATGGGGTCGCAGAAAAGTTGAACACAACTGAGCGACTAAACACAGCATCCTTGCTTTGACAGAGAGTTGACATATTTCTTTCTGATTATATTAGGGTTAGTAGAGGTGACTTTAGGGTTTTGATAAACTGATTTCTTCAAATGACCAAAAATACATTCATTCAGTTAACAAATAATTATACAAATAACAAATATTAATAGGAATACAAAGCCAAATGTTAAAGTTTATGCTCTTGAATGATGGTAGCCTGAAGGGGAAGGCAGACTAGTGGATAAACGTTACAGTACAAAGGAGGCTGTGCACATTGTGCAAGGGACAGTGATGGCACAAAGAAAGGCGTGATCAACTCAGCTCTGGGAGGATGGTCTGTGGGACCCAGGAACTCCTACTTTAGCCTTCAGGTGCTCCTGAGAAAATAATGAGTAGGAATTTGCCAGGTAGAGAAAAAAGAAAGCAAAAATACAAACAAGGTTTAAGAGTGAAGTAGCTGGTGAGGTCAGGGAAGTCTAGCAGTGACAGGAGACTGGAGAGAGAGGCTCAGGTCAGGTCATGGTTGGTAGTGTAGTTCATGCTAGACAGGTTAGATTTATGAAAAGAAGCATTGTAAGTTTTGAGCAGGGAAGTGATCAGATTTGTGGGACTGAACTCTAGTATTTAGCATTGTCAGGAATGCCATCTGAAAGAAGATGGACACCCTTCAAAATGATCGAAAACATGCTTAATTTCCATTATTTCTGATTTTCACTTTACTAGGAGTGGCAAGAATTACAACAAAGTATTCAGCGAAAGGAGAGAGCACTACTGGAAACCAAATCAAAGATAACACATCCTGTCTATAGTCTTTACTTTCCTGAGGTGAGTTATTCATGCACAGCCTAGTGTTTTCCTTCTTCTAGTCAGATATTTCTTAGTTGCTGTTTATCCTTTCTGTAGCGTGAATTGACTCTTATCCTTTCTGTAGTGTGTACTGATTCAGATGCGCTAAATGTGGTGTATTCTCCATACGTCACATTTTTGAAGCATATATTTCAGTATGCATTACTTTGAGTAAATGAGTTGTTTAAAAGGAGGATTGTCAACTTTTTAACACCTTGTTGTTGTCCTGGGCTTCTGTCTTTTCTGTGCCTGGATTACTGAGGGTTGTACTTACTGATGCTTTCTCATTTGCAGTTCAGGCAGTCTTAATGAGACAAATGCATATTTTGCCTGTGACTTTGTGTGGCTTTTGTGAGTCTCATACTTCTACCATGTTTTGAATAGAATGAAAATGTTCTTAAATTCTGCTCGTGGATTTTGTTCTGAGGGTTCTATATGGCCATCTGGAGCCGCTAGACTTGTTCTGATAAGTGCCGTGATCCACAGGAAGAAGGCAAGCCCAGGCCTGAGGACCCTCTGAGTTCAGTAAGAGCTGACCCCCAAGCTCCAGACTGCTCACTGCGACGTTCTTTGTCCCCTGTGCTTGTTTACTTCGTGGCTGTGGCCTGTTCAGCCTTCCGTCTCTTTGATAGGCTGTTTGTCTTTCAGATGAATTTGAGATCAATTTGAGATCTTGACATATTGCTTTTGCAGATAATTCTCTGTGGCTAGAGGTCAAGGACTACTGCCTGTTAGTTCAGGGAAGCTGTTCCACAGACTGCTTTGCAGCTTTGCCATAGAGCCTTCTGCTCACCACTTGAGTTTGGTGGGTGATTTCATGTATAAATATGCTTTCTGCCCTAGAATGTCAATCTATAGTTACTGGGGACTGCTGAAGGCAAGTTCCTAAGTAATTTGGCTCTCCTAATAAATGAGTGGCTATGCACAGACTTTTGTTTTTTGACTTGGAGAGCAGTCAGCCCAGGATTCCATCTTACTGTGCATGCTGATCTTCTGGCATGTCCTGAGCTATAGCCCATCTGTTAGGGGCATTTCGCCCATTGCAGTGTAGTCTGCCAACACCAAGGCTCCTGAAATCAAGCGAATAAATTTCATTCATTGATTGGTTTTAAAAGTACCATGGGATGCTGTAAGCTGCATAATTTGTACCCTTATAATAGACAGCTTCATTTTAGACCATGCTTAGTTAACAGGCAAAGCGTTCATTTACTCCCTTAGTACATTTTAGTAGTGAAAGTGCCTTCTTGTAATTTTATCTGCATAGTAAACATCTCAGAGTGCCGTTTATCAGATGGACTTTATTTGGAATTTTCCTAACTTCTACCTGTCTACCTTCTCATGTATATTACTTAAAGTTTTATGTTAATAATTGACTTAAATGTTATTGAAACTCATATTTAACAAGAATGGTTGGGAATCCCATGCAACAAAAAACCAGTTTGGTTTAAAGTGCAAATAACTCATGGTAGAGACTCTTTTCTACTTTAACCATGTGCATCAAGAGAATCTGGGTGCAATTCCATAGGTAATAATCACTAGCTTCTTAATGTTTGTTTTTCTTGAATGAATCTCATTTTAATCAAATAGATTTGGGGCAGTGGGAGGCATTCTCTTAAGTAGAGATAAAGAATAAATGCACATTCTTGAACATGTATGTTCTAGTAATGATATTTCTGAAAATGAAATGTCAGACTGCTTAAGTAGAGAAATGTTTACCTCATTTCATTAATAATCATAACTTTAAAAATTGTTATTGAAATATAGTTGACATACATTGTATTAGTTTTAGGTGTAACATCTAGTAGTTTGATATTTGCACACATTATGAGATGATCACCACAGTAAGTCTGGTAACTCTCTGTTCCCATACAGAGTCACTATAATATTATTGATCATCTTCCTATATTGTACATTACATCCCATGACTTACTTATTAATAATCTTATAGCTGGAGGTTTGTACTTCCAAATCTCCTTCTTTATTTCTCCCGCCACCTCCACCCCTCTCCCATATTTGTTCTCTGTATCTATGAGCCTGTTTTCATCTCATTTTGTTTGTTTCTTAGATTCTACAAATAAGCGAGATCATGGTATTTTGTCTTTCTCTGACTTCACTTAGCATGATATCCTCTAGGTCCATCCATGTTGTTTCTGATGTCAAGATTTTGATTTCTTACAGCTTGAGTAATATTCCATTGTTTGTATGTACCTTCTTTGTCTATTCATCCATCAGTGAACACTTCAGTTGCTTCCATATTTTGAATATTGTAAATAATGATGCAATGAGTTGATGTTCACATATCTTTTCAAATTAGTGTCTGTGTTTTTTTTTTCTTGGGGTAAATTGCTCGAAGTAAAATTGCTGAATCATATGGTAGTTGTAGTTTTAATTTTTTGAGGCTCTTCCATACTGTTTTCCAGAGTGGCTATATTGATATAACTGTAATTTTATTGGGCTCTGTGTCCTAGGCATTTTAACAGATATTTTTTTGTATTATCTCAGTTTGTCTTCACAACACAACTTGAGGTAGGCATTCATCACTTAACAGAGAAAAAAGGTGAGGTTTCAAGAAGTAAAATAATTGGGTCTGGATGACTTTGAAATAGACATTGGCAGACTACTGCCTGCAGGCAGATCTGCCTCCCAGCTTGTTTTATAAATGAAGTTTTATTGGAACAGAGCCACACTCATTCTTTCTATAATACAATGGCAGAGTTGAGTAGTTAGAGCAGACTCTTTGGCCTCTAAATCTGTGAGTTCTGCACCTGCAAATGTGGTGGGCCAACTGTACCACGACATTTTATGTAACAGACTTGCACATTCATGAATTTCGGTATTCTGGGGGTGGAGTGGTCCTGGAATTGATCTCCTGTGAGTACAGCAGTACTCCACTTTGAGTCTGTTGTTTCTGCCCATTTCGTGTGTGCAAAACACATGTAGAAAGACATATGTATACACCTATACCTTTTGTTGTAGTAGTCCTAACCCTTGGATTAAGCGGAAGTTGAGTTAGTCATCCACTTACGATTTGTTATCCTGCTTATTAATGTTGCATTGCCTTGTAGTTTAAGGCATTTAAACAAAAGTTTTTAGTTGAACTTAGTGTACCATTATTAGGAAGATAATAAATCATATTTTAATGTCTTAAGATTGAAATAAAATAGAAAGCACAAGCGATTTTGGCTTAAAGATACAGACTTATTCCTATGAAACTATTTTCAATAAAAAGTTATTTTTTTAAACTTCTCTTGGATAATTGAGACTCTAGTGTTGCTTTGGTTAATTGGAGTATCCTACAATTTATTTTATTTTTAGCTCCAAAACTTTTTTTTAAGCCATTTTAGAAAGAGTCTTCCCTAGCCCATTCTTAAACAGTGGATGCAAAGTGGATGAATAAAAAGTTACTGATCTGTGCTGTAATTCAGTGGTGATTGCTGACCACACTGAAGTTTGGTGCTCCCAGACTGGTCTTCTAATTTTTTTTTTTTTTTAGTAGGTTTTTGTCTCCTGTCAGTGTTTCCTGCTATCATTGTGCATTCTGGTGGCAATTTCCTTACCCAGCCCTTTTTCTGTTCGTAATCTTTGATGTAGTACAACTGAAAATGCTGAGCTTATTGAAATCATGTACTGTAAATGGTACAAATAGATTCTTAGAATCTGAGTTGCTCTCTTATAAATAATGTGTTTTAATGTATTGATTTCTGATATTGTTACCCAAGTCCCTTCCACTCCTGCTTTCTGTCTTTTGCTTATTACTAGCTAAGATTACTAAAATTATTTGCTAGATGAATTCATGATAGCTTATACTGTTTTATTTTTTAGCATATCTTTTATCATTTAAGGTTAATTAGGGGTTTTTAAAATACAGGGGTTCATCAATAGGGTTTAAGGGGCCATTTGAAACCCCAAAATTACATACAAAATTCTTTTGTTGGAGAATGGTTCTAAGAACAATTTGTTCATTCAGTAAGTGTTTATTGACATCTATTTTGTACCAACCATGGTGTATGTGCTGGGGGTAGCGCAGTGGCTAAAGGGCAGTACAGTTGGCCCTCTGCATCTGTGGGTTTTGCATCCATGGATTTGATCAACTGTGGATTGAAAATGTTGGGGGGTGGATTCCAGACAGTCTAAAAAGGCAAACTTGAATTTGCTGGGTATTGGCATAGCAATTACATTGTATTAGATATTATAAGTAATCTTCTAGAGGCTAGGTAAGGTGTACAGGAGTATGTGCATAGGTTGTATGCAAATACTATGCCAATTTATGTAAGAGATTCGAGCATTCATGGATTTTGGTATCCGCATTGTGGGGGTGAAAGGGGAACTTGTTTGGAATCAGTCCCCCTAAGGTACCAAGGAGTAACCACACCCCTAAAATGAGATAAGGCAAAACTGTATTTCTCTAATTCTTTCTGGCTATTTATATTCTTCTCTTTTTTTCTTTTCAGGAAAAGCAAGAATGGTGGTGGCTTTATATCGCGGATAGGAAGGAACAGACATTAATATCTATGCCATATCATGTGTGTACACTAAAAGATACGGAAGAGGTAAGTATACAACAACATTATTTAGATATAAAAAACAGTATAGAAATCCATTTATCATATACGGCTTATTGCATTTTATTTAAAACACATTTTATAACTGTTTTCTGACAACTTTTGGAGGGAGCTCATTGGAAATTTATAGAGTATTAAATTGTTAAAGGTAGACAACTTGGTGGTCTTTTAAAACCTTGTTCTCAACTTACTTTGGGGAGTTTTCACTGTTACTGTCTTAAGAATACTTGCCTTACCATATCTCCAGAATTTAGTTATGTTCTACAAATTCTTATGAGTTTTATCCTCATTGGATTAGTGCTCAGAAATTATGGCTTGTATCCTCATTGAATTAGTGCTTTTGTGTTACAAACAAATGTAAGTACTAGTGATTGATTTTTTGAAGTGGAATTTTTTATTTTATTGCATTGTCCACTGTCAGTGACATCACATAAATAGCATTGTGATGAACATACTTTCCCCTTGGATTTCCTTGTTTTTCTTTTTGATTTTTTTATGTTACTATTTGAGAAAGAAGTTTCTGTCTACCTGGACTTGGTGGACAAGAGCAAAGCTTTTGAATTTCAAGAGAGTTCTGTAATGATGATTTTTAAATCCCAAAAGTTTTTTCCTACGTTTCTAACCAAGTAGTAAATGTTTAAAGTAGTTTATTGTTGTTTGACACTTAGCAATAATGCCAACTTATGGATATCTCTTTCACAGAGTAATTTTAACATTTTTTAAAATTTAAATTTTACCCATTTTTGAAAGGATAATACATTTGCCTAGTTAGTGTTTCAGAAGATATACAGAGTGCACACACTGAAACATCTTATATTCCTGTCTCTCACTCACCCATTCCACTTCCTGGAAACCATCAATACTACCAAATTTTTATGTATTCTTCATGTGATAAGTACAAGCATATACATAGGTATATTCTCCCCAGTTTTGCACAAAAAGTAGCATACATCATGTTCTGCACCTTACCTTTTTCTCAGTGATAAAACTTGGAATTTGTACCATATTAATACAGAAAAAAGCTTCATTGTTTGTTTTTACAGCTGCATGATATTCTTTTGTGTGGAAGTTTATTTATTCAGTGCTCAGCTCTTTAGTGGACTTACAAGGTGTTTCTTGTGTTTTGCTGGAATGAATAACCTCATATCATTCAAATACATCTATAGGATAAATTCATAGAGGTAGAATTAATGAATTAGAGGCTCTGTACATTGTAATTTTGATAGATAGATGTTGTTAAATGTTTATTTCTCCATAGGGAGAAAGAATGTTCAAGTATAGTATGTTCATTGCCTCTCAGTTTGTGAGATATATAAAAATGTTGCAGGCATGTTATCATGCCCCCATAGACCATTCATCCATGGGTTTTGACCTCTTTCTTTTTCTCTGTGACACCAGCTGAGTGTCCTGTGGTTAACTCAGTACTGACACTATTTCCCCAGACAGCTCAGATTAATGTTCTGTCCCAGAAGACTGCTGTTGCCCCACTGTCCATCTTTAGATGCCAGTTTCAAGTCCCAGGTTGTCACCTGTACTTATGATCAACTGGCAGTAAATCATGGTTCCCATGATCCCCTCCTTGGGTTCAGTAATTTGCCAGAATGACTCATAGAACTCAGGGTAACATATTTACCAGTTTATTATGAAAATAGTATGATGAAGTAGATGACTGTCCGGATGAAAGAGATACATGTGGCAAGGTATGTGGGAAGGGATGTCGAGCTTCCATGCTCTTTCTGAGCGATCCGCTCTCCCTGCACCTCTGCATGTTCACCAGTTTGAAAGCTCCTTGAACCCCTTATTTTGGTATTTTTATGGAGACTTTATCACATAGGCGTAATTGATCATTAACTCAGTTTTCAGCCTCTCTCCGGAGAGTAGGGGGTGGGACTAAAAGTTCAGGCTTCTACTCATGGTTTGGGCTTTCTGGTGACTGGTCCTCATCTAGGAGACCAAGAGTTGCCTCATTAGAAGAGAACTCATTCTTATCATCCAGGAAATTCCAAGGGATTTGTCAGCTCAGTGTCAGGAACCAGATCCAAAGAGCAAATTTTAGAACAGAAGATGCTCCTTATGTGCTCTTGTCACTTTGGAATTAGAGGGATTTGAGGAGCTTTGTGACTGAGGGCAGAGATGATGAATGTATTTTCTATTCTCTCAACATTTGTTCTAGAAATAAGAAAATTTGGCAAGAACTATTCCTGTTTGGTGAAGTCTGTTTTAGTTCAACATTTCATTTATTTTACTTTTATGCCCAGCTTCATTTCTTCAGGTTATCAAGATAGAACTTGGTTGCTTTAAATATGTTTTCTTGAATTCTGGAGATAGAAATTACCCGTATCAATTCTGCCTATTTTTATTTCCTTTTTACGTAGTACATATATGACACAAATGTCATATATGTACATACATTTGTTGTCATTAGAACTTTTGTAACATGTGTTAAGACCTCTTCTGTCATCTGAGTAAGCACTGGCTATTAAATACTCTCTCGTCTAAATATGTTAGGAGGGAGCTATTGTTTCTTCCATTCTTTAAAATATAGATTTTAAGTTCTGATTTATCTTGTAGGTAGAACTGAAGTTTCCTGCACCAGGCAAGCCTGGAAATTATCAATATACGGTGTTTCTAAGATCAGACTCCTATATGGGTTTGGATCAGATTAAACCACTGAAGGTAAGAATAATGACTATGCTGTAAATATGGTGTTCCCTAGAAATTGTCATATTGAGTGAAGTAAGTCAGACACAGAAAAACAAATATCATATGATACTGTTTGTATGTGCACACTAAAAAAAAACTACAAATGAACTTACTTACAAAACAGAAATAGAGTCACAGATGTAGAAAACAAACTTATGGTTACTGGGGTGATAAAGTGAGGGGGCAGGGATAAATTGGGGATTGGGATTGTTCATATGCATACTACTATGTATACAAAATAAATAACTAATAAGAGCTTGCTGTATAGTATAGGGAAGTTTACTCAATACTCTGTAATGCCTATATGGGAAAAGACTCTTTTTTTAAAAAAAAAAAAGTGGATTTATGTATATGTATAGCTGATTTTTTTTTTTGCTATACACCCTGTCAATCAAATATAATAATAAAGTTTTTTTGAAAATGAATTTTTTTTTTCAATCTGTGGTAGGTATGGATTTGCATTATTATACTTGTGTGGGAAATGAAAGTTACCATTTCCTCCTTTTTGAGAAATTTTCAAATACCTGAGAAGGAAGGAAGAAGAGAGATACATAGAGAAAAAGAGTGAATCAAACCATGCAAAAAATTTTTTTATACATTTTTGAGGTAATAAAGGGAACTTAAAAAAATAAGGTTGTCTATTTGAATAAGTGTGTTACATCTTAGGTAAGCATTTCTAATTTTGAAATGTAGAATAACAGGGAAAGAGGTCTTCCCATAGTTTAATATAATACACTTGATGGAATGCTCTCAATAATAAACTTGTGTTAAAGGAGTATGATGATTTAGAACCTTGAGTATAACTTACCAGTGTGATAATTCTAATATACTATAATGTGCCATACCTTTATAGGGCCTCACCAGATGGTTTCTGTTTTCTTTAGAAAGGCACATGTATTTCATTTTAGAGTGTACACTTGTGTGAGTATCAGTTGAAGCACATTCCCATCGATGTTACCATTTCACTTGTGAAAGTGAAAGTGGTGAAGCTGCTCAGTCATGTCCGTTTCTTTGCGACCCTGTGGACTATGTCCATGGGGTTTTCTAGGCAGGAGTACTGGAGTGGGTTGCCGTTTCCTTCTCCAGGGGATCTTCCCGACCCAGGGGTTGAACCTGGGTCTCCCACATTGTAGGCAGACGCTTTACCACCTGAGCCACCAGGGAAATCTCTTGAGCTTTTTATAAAAGGCATGCTATTGTGTTAGAGAGATTGTGCGGAAGAAGTGTTACACTGTGTACTGGGACTCAACCGGAAGGAGCCAGCAAAGGCGTGGCTTTTTTCCCCCATGAGGGCACTGTATTTCTTCCCATTGGCTATAGGATGTTAACTTCATGAGTAGTCTTGGAGGCTGCACATACCTCTTTGGAAGTCATGTTTGAACTTTTTTTTCCCTCCACAGAAGACTTAGAACAGTGTTCCTGCTCAAGAGTCAGAATTATTCATCTTTCATGCTGCAGAATAAATAGCGTATAGTTCCTGTAAAATCATACTATTAAACTACACTAGAAACTTAACTATACTAACATGTTCCTAGATTCATGTTTTTATTTTGTGGATGAGTGTCTTTTCTTAAATGTGTTAAATTTAGAGTTAAAAGATGTAATCTTTTCTTTACAAGTGCTGCTGTCAAAGAAAACCTTTTCTTTACCAGTTATTTCTTCCATTATTCCTCCCCAGATTTCTAATGTCTGCGTTTAATTCTTTTTCCTAGTTGGAAGTTCATGAGGCTAAGCCTGTGCCAGAAAATCACCCACAGTGGGATACAGCAATAGAGGGGGATGAAGACCAGGAAGACAGTGAGGGCTTTGAAGACAGCTTTGAGGAAGAGGAAGAAGAGGAGGAAGATGATGACTAAGCAGTAAACGCATGGACCACAATTTGTGCGCATCTTTGCAAGTTTTTGCTGTTTTGGAAGTGTATAATAAACCAAAAGCATTACAGAACTGGTATTGAGGGAAGTGTTACTAGGGTGTTACCAAGGCAGTGGTGGTGCCTTGGTACAGTCTGAAAAATGCTTAAGGTTTGTGAAAGCCTTTCAGGTATGGGATGGTGCATTTATTTCATCTGCAAATGATAATAAACCCTTTGTTACAACTGTCCAGAAGTGTGGGCTATGTATTATCTATCATCTGTGGTCCCGGTAAAAGTAAAGGTACATGAAAAACAGTCTATAAATGAGTGACCTTTCTTTGTTTAGCTTTAGTTTTAACAAACATTAAAGTATGTATGATAAACACCACAAATGTTTTAAGTAACATCTGCTCAAGTTTTAATGTCTTATAAGCTCTATTATTCATTTACTGACATTTTGCAGTGATATAAGACTATTTATAATAGCTCCATTCATAGCTTTAAACATTTTATTTTTGCCTATCTTGGTCAAAAGTTGGCATTCTGTCACATTCCACATAATCTAGAGGGCTACATTTTGGGATTTTTCTTTTTCTTAATTGCCCAGAGTTACCAGATAGGTTATAAAAATGGCTTTTAATGGCTTAAAACATTTTTAAGCCTCTATTTTAGCAGATCAATGCAGGATCTAATTCTTTTTATAAGCTATAGATCTAAAAATGATTGTGGGACCATACGTTCTCTGATGTTGGTGACTTATGTTACTAAACCTTTTTAAAAAGGTCACTATAAAAGCTGAAATACATTCTTAGCTTTTAATCTACCTGACTCTATCAGAAGCCTTTTATGGTAAAATATAACATGCAAAGGAGGCATTTTTTTGTATTCATTTTGGACTCCTGTCAATAAAATAGAAGTTTGACTCATTTTATGTTTGTAATGGTGTGTGTCTTTTTGCTCCCAGAAAGGGATATAATAGGAGAACTCATTATTTTATTTTTCAACTAAAAATTTAGTAATACTGTCCATGACTGCTAAAGTGACTGCTATTTCTGTGTACTATAGAAAAACCTGTGATTGGGGGGAACTTCCCCCTCACACTCTCACACAGTACGGCCTGCAAGGATCATGCTTACAAAGAGTAGAAATGTGTACATGATGAATTGTTGAGGTAAAATGAATATTTTTGTTACTAAATATGGAGGAAACATAAGTTTATATTATAGTACTGATGTTAATAATCCTCCCCTATCAAAATCTCCATAGATCCAAGTGCTGTCGGAATACTAATTTGTGGCCTAAACTTGAAAGGTGGCCACTTCCCATGCAGAACTACCACTGGTATTTTGTTACTGCAGTAGTTGGAAATAAAATTTGAAACTTACCAAAGCATGAATTCTTTTTTTTTTTTTTTTGGTTCTAAATTTGGGATGTAGTATTTCCTATAATATGGTCAAAGCAGATTTTTTCTCTGGAGCCTTCATTGTCTGTTTTTGTTTTAAAAGTGTTGGTGAGACCCTTCCTGGGCAAGCAGGAGTGCCACTGACTTGTTTGTGAGGATTTGTTTCATTTTGTAAAGGGGGTAGGCTTAATTTTCAGGTCCGGGTTTGCTGGGAAGCTGCTGGTCACCTAAGTGAGGTGGAAGGGAGTGGTCCAGCCAGTAGCATCCAGGGAAAGGAGAGGTTAGAGAAAACTCAGGTGGTGTGAAGGCAAGGGAAATGAGCAAATGAAACAAAGTGTAGTGTGAGCAGTTCTGATTTTCTTGAAAGATACTTTTCAAGAATAGTACTTATTCTAGTGGCTGTTTTGTCTTAAAGAGGTTTTATAAGTTATTCAAACAACTGGCTTCTTTCTCATTTTTAAGACTAGAGGATTTCACAACCTAGTAATTCACCACAATGCTTAAAAATAAAATAGCATCACCTCATTAGGAAATCCTACTGGTCTGTGTTGCTTTGCCATTTGTGTGATATATATGTACTTGGCAACCAACAACACATTTTCCCCTAATGAGTACTTTAAGTAAGCTCTTTCCATATTGCCATAGTGAAATGACTGAGCTTTCATTTTATCATACTCTTCTCTCCAGCAAGTCTCTGAACTCTGCATCCCCTCTTTACTTCTCTTGAGATGTAATAACTTATTTACCCTTTTGTGCATTTAATCAAATGGAACTTTCTTTAAGTGTAGTTTCAATTTGGTCCCATCAAGAAACACTGACATTTTGTCAACAGAATAGATGAAAACCATCAGTGTTTGTATGTAAAGTGAAAGTGTTTTTTTGTGAAATTAAGCCATTGTGTAGTATTTTTATCTTTTTGAATTTGTGACGTACCTATTAAAAGGTACTCCTCCAGATGAGACCATCAGTGAAAGTCTTTCAGTTATAAATTTTTGTTGCACAACTTGATTAAAGCCCTACGTGCATATCTCAGTCTCAAAGTCAGGTGTTTATAGCCTTTAAAAATTAAAAAAAATTTTTTGTGAATTTTTTTAAAATTAAGGAGTACATGGAATAAAGTTTTCTGTGTAGAACATAACTGTGTTCTCTACCCCAGCTTGCACTGCGTGCTGGAGAAGGATGAACCTGTCTGGCTGCAGGGCTCCCCTGTGAGAGGGGAAGCTCAAGTCCTAGGTAGGAGCAGAGCAGGCGGACACCAACCGGCTGATGTGGGAAAGGGGAGCAAGGGTGTGGAGGAGGAATGTGAAGAGGCTCTGAGCATGTAATTCTTGACCACAACATTTATCTAGTCATTTGCTTCAGCCAAGCAAAGACAGTTGCTGGAGTGGTCTTTAGCAACAATTGTAATTCCAAAGGTAATTCCACATCGCACATATTTTTCGAGGAGTTGTTCATTGTTCACCACCTGTTTACTGAACTTCAGTGTTTCCAGGTCTGTGATCAGACACTGGGGCTATTAAAAGAATTTATCTTCTTATGGCTCAAAGGTATTAAGGCAGGCAAATGTATAGCAATCTATTTTAATCTGTTTGCATTCTAATGACCATTGTTTGCAATGCATTTTTTTTGTTTGTTTTTCCATTGTAGGCAGAGGAGGGTTTTGTTTTTGTTTTAGGTGCTAGCTATTTGTTGGTTTTGAATGTTTCTTTAAAGCATTTCCTCCCCAAATATTAAACTTCATAGAATCCCCAGTTTAATCTGCCCAATGATAACTGAGACAGCTATCGGTGAACAATAATGTGACATTTTACCAGCTGTGCAGTGATTAGTCCAATCATGTCTTAAAAAGTTAGCATCAAGCATCTTAACATTTAAACTTGATGCTCAGGCTATTTTGCAAAACTTAAAAAAGCTGTGATCTTGTACATTTTTCTGTAACTAGCTAAAAATTCAAATCTAGCAATCATTGGCATGCTTTAGGGCTGTGGTTTTAGGTGGGGATGTGTACCTCCCAGGAGTATGCAGTAATCAGTCTATTGGGAAAGTGTTAAAGTGGTTGTTTGTATTTAATCTCAACCTTTTAAATTTCTATTTTTGTGTGTTTTATAATGTACATAATATATTGTACAATTGTACACTTCTATAATTTATAAATAAATACATTTATTGGCGTATTAGACATTCTTTTCTGATTTCAATGCTTGATCAAGTATTTGGATATGCTGCTTTAAAGTGTTGCTGTAGTGCCTTTTAAAGTGTTGGTATAATGCCATTTAAGCAAAAATGCAGGTTTGGGGTTTTAGTACTTACCATTTGAGTTTGCAAGATGATGCTCCTTTGCTAGAGTCGAAAGGTCGGCATTCACTGTGTAGCAAAGTGGTTATTTATTGAGGTGGAACTGAGTAGGTTTGCTGACAGGGTTAATAGATGAGCAGAGGGTCTGAGCAGCTGTTGTCCACAGAATGAATGTGCAACAGGTGAGGGCAGAAGTTCTAGGTGCGGCTTCCAGGGACTTCCAGCAAAGTCTGCAGCTCTGTTCGTGGTCCCTGCAGTCCGTGGCTGCTACAGATGGCAGGTGAGTGTGAGAAGGGCTGTCCACTCTTTAGCACTGGATGGTCCAGCACTAACCTGGCAGGCTTGGTATGCAAAGGCAGCTGGGTACCTTTTACCTTCGTGAACACCTGAAGTTTACGTTTTAAAATCTGCATAACTGCTGCAGTGGATACCACTTTGTTAAGTTGCCAAGTCGTGTCCTCGTCTTTGGGACCCCATGGTCTGTAACGCGCCAGGCTCCTCTGTCCATGGGATTTTCCAGGTAAGAATACTGGAGAGGGTTGCCTTTTCCTTCTCCAGGGGATCTTCCTCACCCAGATATCAAACCCATGTCTCCTGCATTGGCTGGAGGATTCTGTACCCCTGAGCCACCTGGGAAACCCCTGGATACCACAAAGGGTATGAGCAAATTTCAGAAAGAAATTTAAACCACTTTGCTGTAGTTTCCAGCTTGGTTCTGGTAGAGGGCGATAGGGCTATAATTTTCTTTAGCAAAAGAGTGGTTTAGTTTGTGAGACAACCAAAATTAAAGACAGGCTGTGTAATTTATTTCTATCATCACCTTCTAGGCTTACCTCCTTCCCCCTTAGTGTTTTCTTTCTTTTAATATATTATATTTCTTTCTTTTAATATGTCTTTTAATACATTAAACTTACTGGTTTTCTGGCCTGATCCATTGAGCCCCTTTGCAGCAAACTCCAGAAGACAATCCAAATTTATTAATTGTGCTAGAATTGTATCAGATTGTTTGCCTGAGAGAAGTGGGAAGCCAGGTAGGACAAAGAAATCCTTTTATTGTACGAAATTAGTGTTTGGATGGTAAGTGTCAAAAACCATGAAAAGGTCTGACTCTGGGCAAGCTAACACTCTGTGCAGTGTCATGGATGCTGGCAGAAGACAGGAGACCCCCAAGTCAGAGGCATCACAGACAGTTCCTGTTGTCTAGTTACTCCTCTGTCCCCCAAGTTCCATGGGGCTGATGTGGAGCAGCCCAGGTGGACACTGCATATACTGAGGAATTCTGAGCTCAAGAAACCTTCTTTCTAAAG